TGTATCTTAAAAAATCTCCTTGCGCATACTATTTTGTCGTAAAAGGTTGACCTTGACATTTTTCACTTCTTCGATTCATTTTCAAAAGATTCCGGCATGCATAGCTCAAAACTTCCATTATACTAATAATTATTAGCTTTTTAAGCTGAAAAGTCCCTAAAATTTGCCTATTTTGTACATTTTTGATCAATTATAGTGAAATGCTTGATTAGAAAGCTTGCGAATAAAAATGCAATGGACATTTTGAGATGTGCATGCCGGCATTTTTAAAAAATGAATCGAAGAAGTGAAAAATGTCTAAGCCAACCTTTTACGACAAAATAGTATGCGCAAGAAGATTTTTAAAGTTATAGCCTAAATGGGAGAAAAAGGCTCTGCGACTGGGTTCAGGGCATAGAATGTGCCTCCCCAATGAAAAATTTTAATAAATACTTGATAAGACATCAAATTTTTAACAAATTTTCACAGTGGGCCCCATTTAGTACAAAATAGCATTTTCACCAGAACCTCCCCTTAACTGAACTAATTTGTCCAATATACGGAGAGAAAAAATGTTAAAACTTGATGATGGTTTACGTTTCCCAGAAGGATTTCTTTTATGCTAATTAGTCTACATTGTAAACTTCATAAGGAGAGAAAGTATGGGAAAATGATCCTGGAGTGAATTGGATTTCGGAGCTTAACAACTATAGATGGAATACAATTTCAACATTTCAACATTAAATTTTCAAGCAGCATGTGCGAAACAGTTGTGATGGTGCGGAAACATTAAGGGAGGGTGGGGCACCATGACCACTGGGGCACCATGACCACCCCCCTCGCTCTCGGGAACTACTATGCCGACGGCAACCGGTCGACCGGACTTTCGAGAGAATAGAATTCTTACTATTTTCAGCCAGAGCCCTACCTTCTAGCTTCAAGGGTACGACCATAGCACCTCGCCAAAATTTTTGTTACAGCGTTTTGGCTAAATTGGGCTTTTTTCAAATCTGAGATATTTTTTCTCACTCTCACATTTGAGGAGATAAGTTCGATACTTTATAAAGTAAAAACAATGGCAATATAAGTTTCAATAAAATCTTGTGTCAGAAGTCTCGATTTGTGGGCTAAGTTCCTTTCCATTTCATAAATTCATTCCTTAAAAGCAAGGCCCTGTCTCCTTTCAGTTTCTGAGTTATGGATGTTAACATTAACTTAAAGTTGTTTCCTCCCAAATTCTCCGTGCAACAAGTAGGAAAGAGGATAAATATAGGGAAAAGATAGTGGTGCCTTGTTTTCAATATCTTCCTTAGTTTTCCTGATAAAATAAAAAAATAAGATAAAAATGTGCAAAAGTCTCTCATATTAAAAGAAAACTGAAAACAAAATAATGTTTGCAGTTCATTTCAGACTGAGATTCCTTTAGTGTGGCAACGTTATCTGTTTTCTATGTCTTTGAAGGTTCAATAGCCAAAATCAGAGGATTAGTAGCCTTTGCCTTCGTCGTGAGGAGCATTTGAGAGGAACGACTAAAAGAGAACGTAAACTTCCATAACTAAGAAAGTAATAGGAGTTGGGACCTCCTTCTTGAGGAATCAGGTCAAAAAGAACTGTTAGAATTTTCACCTGTCATTTGTCATTTCCATCCTGTCAAAAACATTTTTAAGACATCAAAATTTCATATTTAACTATTTTTTCAAATATTTCGACTGCATGTTGCATATAGCACAGCAGAAACATCCCAGTGCCTAATAATTTGAGAAAAATGATCTATCACAGTATTTTTGTAGTTTTAGTGACTTATCCCAAAGTAACGGCCATGGCAAAATGAGGTAGTAACTCGACTCTTCCAGCACAACCCTACCACAGATGAGACAAGTCGTCTCAATTTGATTAAAGCTGAATCAAATTTGCAGAAATGCCTGTGAACAGCCTCCTTTGAAAGACTTCAGATCATTATCTTGAACTTTTAAGTCATATTCATTCTTGAGTCATACAAAGCTTCCGCAGTGACTGAAATATTTGCGTAGACATTTTTTACTCAAGAAGTACAAGGTTCAGACAGCTTGGCTCAGTTCTCATATTTGTAAGCTAATTTTAAATATTCATTTGGACAGCATTTGTTAAAAAAACGAGAGCACTAAAGATGACTTAAGGGGAGGTTCTGGTAAAAATGCTATTTTCTAGTAAATAGGTCCCACTGTGAAAATAAGTTAAAAATTTGATGTCTTACCAAGGAGTTTCTAAAACTTTTCATTGGGGAGGCACATTCTATGCCTCGAACCCAGTTGCAGAGCCTTTTTCTCCTATTTAGGCTATAACTTTAAAAATCTTCTTGCGCATACTATTTTGTCGTAAAAGGTTGGCCTTGATATTTTTCACTTCTTCGATTCTTTTTTAAAAGATGCCGGCATGCACAACTTAAAATGTAAATTACATTTTTATTCGCAAGCTTCATAACCAAGCATTTAACTATAATTGATCAAAAATGTACAAAAAATGACAAATTTTAGGGACTTTTCAGCTAATAAAGCTTTTAATTAATAATACAATGGAAATTTTGAGCTTTGCATGCCGGAATCTTTTGAAAATGAATCGAAGATGTGAAGAATGTCAAGGTCAACCTCTAACAACGAAATAGTATGCGCAAGAAGATTTTTTAAGATACAGCCAGAATAGGCTCAAAAAGACTCTTCGACTGGGTTCAGAGACTGGAATGTGTCTTCAAAAGTCAAATTTTAGTCTCCTCGAAGAAAGATTTTATTATCCGAACAATTTATGAAGCTGAGATCCATTTGGAAAACGGCAAGATTTTCACCAGAACCTCCCCTTAACACAGTTTTGTGTACCTAAAAGGGTGTCAAGAAAACTTATCCCCTACACAGCAGGGGGCCACAACTTGCTCAGAACATGCTAGAATGTTTCATGCTCGATCCAGCAAAGGGAGGCTTACCGTGTGCTGGCCTGATATCGGAACCTTGCGAGGGGGAAATCACTCCTAAAACCTGCGACCCGACTATTACGCCTATAACGCTCTATTACGCTTCAAAATATAGCGATTTAGCTGAAAACAGACCAAAAAAACCCTAAAATAGATCAAATTTTGAGAATTTCAGCTATTACGCTACTATTACGCACACTATTACGCGTGCTATTACGGACAGAGTGACCCGACTATTTCGCGAGTGCTTTCCCCCTCGGAACCTTGTAATGCCTCCCTGTACATAAAAATACTTTAACAGCCTAACCCTCAAAAGGTGTCACGTTCTAGACCCCTCCTTAATAGCCAATCTCAGAATTGCTCACCAGCATGAGCGAATTATCTTTTACTAGCATAAAGATATTAGTTTTCTTAGCTCTCAAAATGCACTCTCACCTTTTTAAGTCTTGCAGTGCTTCACTCTCGTGGTGGTGGTGCGGGACCCCCTTCAGCCCAGTCAGAAGTCGCTTCCAGCGTCCCTTCGCTAGCGTCGTCGTCCGCTCTGCTCTGCGTGTTGACGTGACAGACAGCAGACAGACAGACGGACAGACTCATCCGCAGGCTTGCCAGACTTCGTCGGCCTCCCTCCACCGTGGGTCGGCCGAACAGAGAGCGCTCGAGCCCCGATCCCACCCGAAGCGTCCGGCCGAGGACCCCAGCGGCGCCGGTACGCGCTCGGGGGAATTTTCTAAAATTTTCCACAGGGGGAGCTTGGGGAGCTCACTTGCGCGCTCGCTTGCCTGCAGCCTGGCTCCTTTCTGCTCCGACCGGTGAGCGACTCCGTTACCGGGAAATCCCGTTCCATGCACTGTGGGAAAAAAATCACAGTAAACCCTGTAGTGATTAGTACAGCTGTCACTGTAGTTCAGAGTACAGGATTTACTGTATTTTTTTTTACAGGATCTACTGTACTTCGTACGGGATTTACTGTACCACAGGAGTGGAGTACGGAATATCCTGTACCAGGTACAGTTCATACTGTAGCCAGGCACAGTAAATGCTGTGTTCTTAACTACAGTAAATCACGACAAAAAATTAACGGGATTCACTGTGGTTTTTTCGCACAGTGTAGGAACGAGACTTTTACGGCGGTCAACCGAGTGCGCCTGGTTTCAAGTTTGAAGTCCTTTCTTCAACGCCCGGTGACACCAGAAAGCGCCAGGTCTGCGGCGCACGAGACTTCAATTCAGCGAGTAGAATACAATCCACGAGGAAGAAAATGATCCAGGAAGCGGAAGGAGATAACTCCATTTTGGCAATTTTTCAGGAGAAACATAAAAACTGTCAGCAGGGAAAAGTAAAACTAAACAAATGAATGTCATGCATGATAACTGACTAAGAAGCACAAGTTAAATTTTGAGATGAACAACAATATTTCCTAAACGAAGTGGAATTTGGAGACAAGTCAAGTGGAACTATGGTCTGCATAAGGTGTTTGTTACTCGGGTGTATTTTCTGGACTGGGCTCTTTTTACCATTTAAGTTCTTAAAATGAAGGGGGGTTAAGTTGACTTGATTCTTTCCACCATAGATACTTAAAAACACAAGTGCTTTATCTGCTATGAAAAATGTGTTCATCGGAGTCATGTTGACTTTCGTTGAGTCGTTTCCATTTGACGCAAAATTGAGAGCGTAAAAGGGGTAAAGTTGAGTTATATCTTATTTAAAAGTGGATTTTCTCCTTACTTGCTGGGGATTAAGTCAAATAATTTGGTGCCATGATGTAATCCATTCTGAGGCACAATAATACAATAAAAATTGAATTTGGTGATAAGTCAACTTGTTCCCTTCTTCCGCTTCCTGGATCAAATACTGCATCACATCCGCTTAATGTCCACTGAATAATAAGTAACGTTCACACCAAAAGCTATCGAGTTGCTAAAAAGTTAGGTAGACCAGAAAATAAAACTTTCAGAAGTTTTCAAAAGTGATTTTTAATTTTCACTTTTCAACGATAATAAATACACAATGGAGACAAAAAAACAAACGTATCTTTTGTTGAAATTATCTGTGCAATAATTAAGTAATTAAAACCATAATAGACCTTCCGAAAATTAGATATTTTCAGTATAAGAACTTAATACAACCGTGGTTTCTTTTCAAGTGACTGTTGGATCAAGGACAGCTTTTCGACGTCCTGCCGCTGGAAACGCTTGGCCTTTTCAATCATGTCACCAATGTCCTTCTCGCTCAGATGTACCTCCAAGGGCGTGATCTGAACCTGGTCTTGACTGTTGGTTATTGGATCAACGGCTGTGACCGTCAACAGGCCATTCCTGTCGATCTCGAAGGTGACGTTGATGGAGGCTTCACGAGCAGGCTTGGGAGGTATTTTCACCACGTACTTCTTGTTCAGGCAGTGGTTCTCCTTAGCGACGAGGCGCTCGCCTTGGTATATCTGAAGCAGAATTGTCACTGATCACGGCTACAGCAAGAGGTCTGATCAACGCGGATCAACGCGTGCATGCAAGTCAACTTTCCGTAACGTTTCAAATTTTTAAAATTACCGGAAATTAAATTTTGAGGACGGGTCTTTCCTGAGGTTAATATTGTGTGTCCCATTGTTCAAGCTCTGTTGCTTCTCGAATGAGGTCAGCAGGAAAACGGTTCAATTATATTAACAGAAAGATTCTACTGAAATTTTGGCGGTTTTCAAATTCTGATGCACTGTTTAAATTCTCCAACTGAAGAATATGGTATACTGGTATGACTTTATCATAGTGAAGCAGGTGATAAATAAGTAGCTCCAAAAGCCCTTTAAAACCAATTCACGTTGTTAATTCAAAAAGTCTCCTAAGCCAAGTGTTTCAACACAAACTATTGATCTGGACATTTCGTACATCCTGAGCTTTCACATAACAAACCGTGAAATAGGTTAAATCAAATTTAAGTCGCCAAATTATCACAACTTTGAACATTTATTCGAGCAACTGACATCGCCATCGCTCAGCAATTAACACCAATGGAACTAAATTTGAAAATGTAGGATTTTAAGTAGAGCCTCTCCGTAAGGCCTTACATCTTGGCTAGGTTAGGTTAGGTTGAACATCTTTTAAAATACACATTTTAAAAACATTTCTGCAAGATTTGGTGTTGCGGGTATTCCGAGGTATTCACATTCATATTTTGTTACTTAAAATACTTCTTTGTGCTGGTAGCATGATCCTGGACGACATGGTAGTCATCTTTCCATTTCATTAAAAAACGATAGAATTTCATTTGGCACACAAAGTTTCTTTGACCAAAGTTGAGACCAGACCTCAAAAAAATTTGGATCACTTCACTTCAACCACCTCTATGGCCTGACCGAAAATATAGACCAGAAACTTTGAACGGCCTAAGACAAAAATAAAAACAAAATTTTTAACTTTTGTCGATTGGACCATAGAAGTGGTTTAAGTGAAGCGTTCTAGATTGAGGTCTGGTCTCAATTCTTGTCAAAGAAACTTTGAGCGCAAGATGAAATTTTAGCCTTTCTTAATAAAATGGTAAAGTCACTGTTCCATAATATCCAGGATCATGCTACCAGCACAAGGAAGTATTTCAAGTTATGAAGGGTGAATGTGCGTACCCAAAACATCAAATCTTTTTTAAAAATTTGAAGGTTTTTTTTTTTATGAAGATAGTCAACCTGACTTTACCGAGATGTAAGGCTTTAATTTTGAACAGCATGACCCTGCAAGGAGTACTTACAAAGCCTGTAATTGAAGTCTGGTTGTCGTAGACGTTGACGTACTTCATGGTGTTTTTGCAGGGGATGGGGCTGTTCCTCTTGATGACCACCGAAAAGGCCCCTCCTTCGAGGTTGACCCCGAGCGACAGCGGGGTCACGTCCCTGAGCTGGACCGCGCTGGTGCCGCCGATCGAGTCCGTCGTGAGGGCGGCGGCGTGCACCGCGGCCCCGTAGGCGACCGCCTCGTCGGGGTTGATGGACCGGCACAGCTCCTTGCAGCCAAAGAGCTCCGACAGCATGGTGCGCACCTTGGGGATGCGGGTGGAGCCCCCAACCAGCACCACCTCGTCGATGGCGTCGCAACCCACCTGTGAAACCGAAATGCAACTTAAAACCTTCAAAGAAAAGCAGCATGTTTTATCAAAGTACTTCGAGCATACATAAGCTTTCAAGGAAAATACCTCGTAATTTGCGAACGATTTCTTTGTACAACAAAGTAAATTAGTAGTTGTACTAAGAAATGTTTCGTAAATTACGAGGTATTTTCTTTGAAAGCTTATGTATGCTCGTAGTACTTTGATACAACAAGCTGCTTTTATTTGAAGGACCAAAAATAGTTCGTGCACTGAGATAATGCACCATACATGCAATGCCATAGCCATATTGCACCTTACGTGCAATGCATCCCGAAAATGCCCTAGGCTAATGCATGGGTGGCGCTATATTCATGGCGTTTGGATTCTCAGTGTGCACACATGAAGCACTTGGGTATCCAGTGCAAGGATCGTTAACTTAAATCACACAGAGGGGTGCTTTTCATCGTCATCATAAACGTTAAAGATGAACCGTAACTCTCGGCAAGTCCATGACAGAGTAAGGATTCTCCAAAGTTTGCTTGTTCAACCGATTTTCAAAGTATACACTTCGTACTGTTCATCGTGTTCAGACCCCACGTGCAGGTCGAGGTGCCAAAAGGACAGGGGGAAACGGAAACGCACCTTTGCATCCGCCAGGACCTCCTTGGAGAGGTCCAGGGTCTTTTGAAACAGGTCAGCGCAAAGGTCTTGGAAAAGGGCGCGACTGATCTTGGTGTTGAAGCCGACACCCTGGCGCGCGAAGTACAAAGCAATGGGCACTTCCGGGAGCGTAGAAAGCTTGCGCTTGGCCAGTTCGCAAGCCTTCCGAAGGTCATGAAGCCCCTGGAGGTCATTGAGCGCCTCCAAGTCTACTCCATGCCGCTCGCGGATCTCCTGCGGGAACAAATCGACAAAGGCAGCCTGTCACAGATAAGTTAAAAAACCTATGGTCGCCTTCCTCTTCCGTTGAAGCTGAATTTGGGCAAGCTAAATACATTCAAACCATAAGGTGTGCTCCTTGTGGAATCACTACGAATCAAGCGTGCAGGTGAACTACAGCATAGTATTTATTACCTTTAGTTTTCCAGCGTTATCCGTCCAGACTTGAATTCAAGCATGACAGGCCTATACGCCCAGATTCCTCATCTTAAGGAGAGGTTCTGGTGAAAATCTTGCCATTTTCCAAACGGATCCCACTGTCATAATTTGTTTCGAATATAAAATCTTTCCTTGAGAAGACTAAAATTTGACTTTTGAAGGCACATGCCAGGCTCTTAACCCAGTCGAAGAGTCTTTTTGAGCCTATTTCGGCTGTACCTTAAAAAATCTTCGTGCGCATACTATTTTGTCGTACTAGGTTGACCTTGACATTTTTCACTTCTTCGATTCATTTTCAAAAGATTCCCGCATGCATAGCTCAAAATTTCCATTAAAATATAAATTGTAAGCTTTGTTAGCTGAAAAGGCCCTAAAATTTGTCTATTTTGTACATTTTTGATCAATTATACTGAAATGCTTGGTTAGGAAGCTTGGGAATAAAAATGATAAGTACATTTTGAGTTGTGCATGCCGGCATCTTTTAAAAATGAATCGAAGAAGTCAAAAATGTCAAAGCAAACCTTTTACGACAAAATAGTATGCGCAAGAAGATTTTTAAAGCTATAGCCTAAATAGGAGAAAAAGGCTCTGCGACGGGGTTCAGGGCATAGAATGTGCCTCCCCAATGAAAAATTTTAATGATAACTTGACAAGACAACAAATTTTTAACATATTTTCACAGTGGGACCTATTTAAGAGAAAACAGCATTTTCATCAGAACCTCCCCTCAATGCATGAAAGAATGCCGATTTGGCGACATTTATGACGTTTGTGCGCATTAATAGGATCTTGTTAAGAAGCTTAACATATTCGTCAAGAGGAAATTGATCGACAACAAACAACAAAAAAACTGTTCACACGCTTATTAATGCGCACAATCGTCCATACGTTATTTAACAAAAACTCCAGTACAAGTCTGAGAGTGTAGTTTTACCAGCGTCACTACTCACCGCGATGCAGTGGCGTAACAGCCGGGTATCGAAGTCCTGGCCGCCGAGGTGCGTGTCTCCACCCGCGGCCACAACCCTGTACTCGGAACCCTCGATGACCATGACGGAGACGTCGAAGGTGCCTCCACCGAGGTCGAACGCGAACACCGTCTTCTTGCTGGCGGACTTCTTGTCCAGGCCGTAGGCGATGGCGGCCGCGGTGGGCTCGTTGATCATGGCCAGCACCTGCAGCCCAGCGATTTGGCCTGCCAACGGGAAATAGGGACAATATTTCTAGAATTGTGCACTCTCAAACTGTTATTGATTTTTGTTCCATTGTTACACTCTCAGACTGTTATTGACTTTTTGTCCTTTGTTAAAGAGTTTCCACAGCAATAAAAAGTACTATTTCCTGAATATCTACGTAAGATTTCGTTCGTCATGTTGACTTAAAGTCAATTGGCTATTTACAAAGAGTAAACACGCAATTGACAAAGAGTCAATACGCAATTGACTTCAAAAATAGTCAATAATTGATGACAATTTAGTCTTTGTAGTGAACAATATTGTAAATTGTTACAAAGGAAATACAACATATTATTGCTGCTTAAAGAATTACGTAAGCAAAGGACAAAAAGTCAATAATTGTGAGAAAAAAAGTCAATACGAGTCTGAGAGTGTGTCAAGTATGTACAAATTGTACTGGGTTTAAGTATGCAAATTTGTACATGAATAAGGTACAATTTCATAAATGCTTGAGCACATTATGGAAATGGACCGCAATTTATGAATTCAACACTGCAGGAAATAACCACAACAAAAGTACACAAATTTCTGGCAAATTTTTTATCAGGTTTTTATTGTACTTTCAAAGAACAACAATTGTTGTACAAAGTACAATGGAACCGGCATGACGAGTGCTGGGCAGTGCAGGCCTCGTTGTGGTTTGTACAATTCTCGTTGTACTTTCTACAATCCCTGTTGTACTTTTATTGTACAGTTTTTGTTTTGTACATTTGTTGTACTATCCACACTTTTTCTTGCAGTGAATATTCAAATATGACAACAGTTATGGATAACAAGTCCATTAGGCATGGATAAGAAGTCCAGATCGAGGCATGGACAAGAAGTCCATAGGCATGGACAGGAAGTCCATAGGCATGGACAGGAAGTCCACGGGCATGGACAAGAAGGCCACAGGCATGGACAGGAAGTCCAGGCATGGACAAGGAGTCCGTAGGCATGTAGGGTGAACCACCAAAGTCCCTAATTTAATCACATCTTCAGCACTTGCTACTTCTCTACGCAGCACACTTGCAAATGCGTCCTTGGCTAGTTTGCATATTTAACTGTGTACTTGCCTGTGTCTCAGAAACTTTACAAGCATGCTAAAAGCGGCCGAATAACGCCGTTTTCAGGGAGAATCTTCTGGACTCACCCGCGACCCTGGTGGCCTGCCGCTGACGCTCGTTGAAGTAAGCGGGGACAGTGATGACGGCCCTGCTCACTGGCTCGCCAAGCGCGCTTTCGGCCGTCTCCTTCAGATTCCGTAGTACCATCGCAGAAATCTGGAAAAGGGGGGGGGGACCATAACGGATAATGTGCGGAAAATGGGGTACCAGAAAGTTCGGGCTCTCCGAGTCATTACGGTACTCCGCAGACCCTGTCCTATGTGGATCTCCTGTAAACATGAACATACTTAATGACTCATGCACCATTTTCAACGAGACGTCACAGCTTTTGGTGCAAATGAACTCTTTGTACAATGAAGGGACGAAAAATTGCACATATTACCCCACTGGTGTGCAAAATCGCGCTAACTTGCACAAAAAGTTTCATCAGCTCAAAAAAAATAAGATGTCTAATACAAAATTTGCACAAAAACGTTTAGTGTGCACGCAAAACGTGTCCTTAATTTCCGTACAGCTGAAGCGTTTACTGACAAGTAGTTTACCCGACCGCGTTTGTCGAACAAGGCTTGCGACGAATGTCTCGCATGGCCTGTTTCACAATCCACGCTGGCGTACAACAACCTTGGACCTAGAAGTGGCTACTGCGGGGTAGGCATATAGGCTTGACCATTAAGTCGGCTAATTTATAATTGTTGCAATGCTAGGCTGTCTCCGCTCCCAACACTTGTGCGACCGCTACTTCTATAAAACGAGTCTTGCCTTTGATCTAAGAAATACAACATCTTGACCCTTTCACATAATTTTATACAGTGTGCTGCCGATCTGAATAAGGAAAGGCCTATCATCGCCGAGACCGCCCCTGTCTCCAAGTCGGTAAGTGCCATCCATCTGAGAAAGCTCATACTATTTGTGCGAACCGAGTGTCTCCGGCTTAAATACTGAGACCATGTCCAGCTGGATGTGTGAGACACTTTGCGCGTGGCCCGATGTCTCAACGGACTACCCAGCGTGGTGCAAAATCTCTACGAGGGCAAGCCATAGGAGGCATGTGTGCACAAACCGTGACTGACAGAATGATCAGACAAATGAAAATGTCTCAACCTTGCAACGTGGAGCAAACGGCTTACACTTCGTAGCCGAAATTAAATGGAAAGCCTAATCATCGAAATACGGCGAGACAGCCGACAGTCTTGCCAAGTCTTGGTCAGACCTGAAGTCTCGCCTAAATTTGGTCAGACGAAAATGTCTCGTCACAAAATGGAGAAGCCTTTCACGGTGCAGGTAGCACGGAAAAGTATGACCATGATACGGCGAGACGAAAATGTCTCGACACAAAATGGCGATACATTTGTGTCTGACCGAATTTTGGCGAGGGTTTCAGGTCTGGCCAAAAATTTGGAAATACCCTTTTGTCTCGTCTCTGGCTACCAGTCTGACTTTCGGCATCGTAGTGGAGGTCCCGATTAACAATTCACCAGACACGGTCCGCACGTTTTCCGTTGTTTCTTCTATCAGTGTATGCGGTGCCACAGTCACTCACCTCCTCCGGGGCAAAGACCTCCTTCTTGTCACCGGCGTCGACCAGGATCCACGGCGCGCCGCTCTTTTCCACCAACATGAAGGGCCAGATTTTCTGGTCATCCTGTACATGGCCGTCCGTCCAGGATCGACCGATTATTCGTTTGGCATCTGTGGTATACAAACAAGAATGAAATGAATAATTGGCTGAGAAATGCCAAAATTTAAAAGTGCTATCAAACAACTTTGCTATGGTGTTGTGTGTGTGTGTGTGTGGTGGGGGGGGGGGGGCTAAAGCAAGCCTTATTTAAGGTTTCGGACACTGTGGCAAAAAGCTACGGAAAATTCTGTTAACAACTCGTAGCCCCCTTATCAATATTCTCCGTAGGCTCTTACAGTATTTTCCGTAGGACCGCACAGTATTCTCCGTGGGACTATAGTCTTCCTGGTCCTACGGAGAAGACTGTGCGGACTTACAGAGAATACTGTACGGCCCTACGGAGAATACTGTAAGAGCCTACGGAGAATATTGATAAGCGGGCTATGGAGAATCCTGGCAAAAAAATTAACAGAATTTTCCGTACCTTTTTGCCACAGTTGAAACGCGCTGAAACAGGAATTTTACGCCGCTAGTGCATTGTTGACGATACGCCTGCGGCGCGCTCATTCAGCCATAGTACCAGCTGGTACCGAGGGGAACAGTATGAGACCGATCAAGAGCCTGCCAGAATGGCTTTACAGCCGCTGGACGGCCCGGGTTTTTGAAGGGCAAAGATTGGTAGTTTTCAGCACGATTAGGCTTAAGTAGTGCGTCGTCTCAGACGCTAAAGGCCAAAACCGTTTCAAAACGAGAATTTTTTTTAGTGAGAATGATAAACACACCCGTACTCAACAGTACAGCAGAACGCTAAATGATTCACTTTCGTAAAATGTGCATGCCAAAATAACAGTTCTTTACAAATTACAAAAGGTGAAGGTCTAAGTAGACCCGTTCCGGGGACCTGGGGCCCGGCAGCGGGGAAACCCCCCCGCGGCGGCCCCGCGTTTTGGGCCCCGCCGTTTCCAGGGAACCCACGACGGCCCGGGGGTTCCCCCCAGCCAATGTCATTTGGAAAAGGGCCCAAAAAATTGGGGTTTTCGGGAACTTTGCCACCACCAAACGTGGTTTCCGGGGGCACCCCAAACCACCGGGCCCCAAAAAAGGGGGACCAACCCTTCTGGGGGAAAACAAAAAAAGAGCAAAGGGTTTTTGAAACCCCTTTTTAGGGGGAAGTCCGGGGTTATTAGAAAGAACCAAAAAGCCAATTTAAAGGGGACTTCAACCAACCCCCCCCGAATGGGGGGGGTTTCCCTTTCCCCCTTTTTCCCCCAAAAACCAAAACCATTTTTGCCCCAAAGGGTTTTTTGGGGTGGTTTTTCCCCTTACACTCTCAGCACGTTATTGACTTTTTAATCATTTTGTCTAGTATACTTATGCAAGTAATTTGTGCAACCATAATACGTACTATTCCTTCTTTAAAGAACTACTTAGGAAATATTAAAAAAATGTACTGAGAATTTTGTTTTGTACTAATCTTTCAAAGGAAATTAGTCATACTTACTTAGAACATGTTAAGTATTGTTGTTCATACGAATACGTAATTGATGAGGAAAAAGTCAGTAACGTGCTGAGAGTGTTAAGTGCCTCATACTCCCTTGATCAATGGTGTGTTAATTTTGGAAAATCTCAATAAGTTTCGGGGTTATTCCAGTTTTCAGTTTTGATGCCAATTTAGTGGTGATAGAGCAAGCTGCCACGTTTTACCTCATGAGAATGAATGAGTCACCACCAACCACCCTTCAAATGGGTGATTCAACTTTGGGTGACGAAAAATTCACCGTAACATACGAATAACATAGGTCAAATTTCACTTTAAGACAGTTACACTCTCATTCCAGGAACGCGACATCACGTTGAAACGAATGCGACAAAGTGTCACGTTCCTTTGAGCATTGTGTCACATTCGTTCGAACGTGAATAAGCTAATTTTAGGCTAATTCACATTCAAACGAATGTGACACAATGCTCAAAGGAACGTGACACTTTGTCACATTCATTTCAACGTGACGTCACGTTCCTGGAATGAGAGTGTCTTGAGAGTTTCTTGTCTTCGATGACTTTCATTTGAGTGAATCAATAAAACACCCTAGCTCTCCGTCGCGGGGCACTCACTTGAAGGAGCTTCGCGAACAGCCGAAGACTCGGGAACAACTGAAGACGTGGTGGGCAGAGTCTCCTTCTTGCACGAGGCAAGATGGCCCCGCCAAACACCCGCTGACATGTTACCGCGGGACATGTTGCACACCTGACACTTCTTGACAAGCGTCATTCTGCTCACCACTTCCGAATGAATGCGAGCATATCGTGGAGCCGAATTAAACCTGACGACACTGCAATCAAACAGAGGTGAGTTGAAACTTGTGAAGAAATGCAGAACAGGTCTGGGCCAGAACCGCTTCTGCGCATGCGCAGAGTGGAGAGAGAGAGAGGGGGGGGGGGCGTATGCGCACTGCGAGAAAAGATCACGGTAAATCCTGTACTGATTACTCCAGACTTCACCGTCCTTTTTTTAACAGGTAAAACCGTCGTTTTTTTACAGGCAATTCCGTACTTTTTTTTACAGGCAACACCGTACTTTTTTTACAAGGAATCCCGTACTTTTTTACCCGGCAATCCCGTACTTTTAATACCTATCAAAAACTGCTATAATTTATTTCAGTCGGTTGACCCTCGTTTTTCAAGATTCTGATGTACATAACTGGTGAAGTCGGACTCCTGGACCCCCCTTCCGACCACTCGTTGAAAAGGTCTTGACGAGACCTATCGAAAGGTGCAATAAAATTTTTCAGTCGGTCGACCCCCCTTTTTTCAAGATTCTGATGTGGACAATTCGTGGGAGCGGCCTTTGTTGGGACCAGATCTGGTCCTTCCTACGGCATGCACTGTACGAAAGAACGGTAACTACTGTTAAAAAACTACGGAATATTTTGTAAAACAAGTACGGAAAATACTGTAGACTGTACGGTGGATACTGGTTTTTGAAGTACGGTAAAGTTTGGCAAAAAAATTATCCAGGATTTACCGTCATTTTTCCTCAGAGTGCGCAGAAGCCGTTTTGGTTCTAACTTTTGATCTTTGACTTCCGTTCCAGGGATTCGTTAAAATACCCTATCGGTACGCGATCATGCACTGAAGTAGAGAAAAACGACCAGGAGCAGTCTCTCGGACGGAAGTATTTCAAATTTCACTCTCATTCCCGCGGGTCGTGACTTCTCGTCTGCGTTTCGCTAAACACTTCCAATATAAGAGCACATTTCAGAAGTACGAATGGTAGATGAGAGGTAATAAAGTGTAAACCTGAGAATCGTTGGGAAAGGTTAAAACCTGAGAATCGTTGGGAAAGGTTACGCTGTATGATGCGATGGTGGGCACTGGCCCAGCGTAACATTGCGTGGGAGTCAAAGAGTGCTCAAAAGTGCGTTACGAAATTCATGAACGGCCCCGTCCCGGAATGAGAGTATAAAAGTGTAACCTTACGTATCCAATTGTACGAAGTATTTGGTGCTAACTCGGCGCTTTGATGTGACCTCAAGGTTGGTCGGTAGATCAGAACGTGTAGTGATTACACCTTCTAGACGTTGTGGCCCAGGATACGACGTACTTCCACCTGATACTATTTATTCCGTGAATGTTGTGCTGAACTCTCCTAGGAACGTCAACCGTTTGGAGTGTGGCTGGAGACTTTACTGTCCTTGACGTTTCGTTCAAATCTACAGGGCGACGATTCTACTGAGGTTCCTGCATAATGAGTTCACCAACAGCCATGAAGCCCGATATGGAAGAGGATGGTTTGGTTGCTCCCATTGAGTCCCAGGTTGGCAAATCTGAAAGATTCTTGAATAAATCTCTTGAACATTGACGGCTGTTAATCGCACTAAATAAACATTGCCTTCTCCGCCATTGTATTGCAAACTCTCTTACGAACTATTTTCTTCGCATTGCGAAGTATTTCTTTGCAACTTGCAAAGAAAATGCTTAGCAACGTTACTAACCAGTGCTCCGTAACGTTGCAAACTTTTTTCTTCGCAACTTACGAACTATTTCTTTGCAATGCGAAGAAAAAAGTTCGCAAGGGAGTTTGTATTACAATGCCGGAGAATGCTTTGTACTGCAAAGTACGTACTTTTTTTTGCAAGCTTTTCTGAGTGCGAGCATGATTCAAGAAAAGAGATGTTTAAAATGTGACGGCAAATAGCGTAAGTTTCTGTATTTTACGGTACACACTAAATGTCATGGGACTTTTTTTGTCCCATGAATTATGCAATTTTAAGCACATCCGGTGGTGATGCAATGTTGTGTCAGCCAGGCGGGACAAATTGTCTAGTGAAAGTACAATTTGAAGTAAGCGTCAGACAAAATGTGTCGCCAGACAGGATCATAATTGTATCAGCGTCGGATGTGCTTAAAATTGCATAAACCATGGGACGAAGTCCCATGACATTTAGTGTATACAACGGAGAAAATGTCAAAATCAAAATGAAGAGAACCACTTAGTCCCTCGTGTTGTGATTGCTTAAGGTGATGTTACTTTGGCATGGTCATGGTGCCTTCTCTTAAGTCTTCGAGATTAGAGTTATGGACTCACTGCCTCCTCCCTCCCTCTGGAGGCTTCACGTTGTCCGCAGACGCCTGCGCCCCCTGCGGAACGTCCCGTGAAAATGATTTCCTGAACGCGTTTTTGCCCCAAGGACTATGTTATTTGAGTGATCACCTGAAAGAGCAGCGTATCTTGATAGGGAATCACACGGTATATGAACTGGTATGTACGAATACCGCAGTTTTCCATGCTATGTTTACTACGTCTTATTCGTTAGAATGTAAATTTTGTCTCGGTCGTTTCAGCACGATGTCACATTTGTTTAAAAGTTGATCTACGATCAAAAGGATGCGACATCGTATTCAAAAGAACGTGACAGAATTCAAATTCTGACGAATATGACGTGATCTTCGATGAATTGCAGTGTTTGAGATCATCGATTGTATGCCTCTGTTTCACCAGTATTACTGAGTTCAGCAAAACGTTACGCTGGCACAGACCAGACCCACCCTTACAAGCTGAGTCCACCAAAAATTTCAATTTGTTTCGTTGGCTCGTATTAGTCTTTGGGAATGTAAAAGTCCTGATCAATATCCAATTTTGGACGAGATCTACCTTATCACCCCAATTTGGGCAAGGAAACTTTCCTTGCCCAAATTCGGTTGAGGAAGTCTTCCTTTATGGCTCCACAGTATTATGACCCAAATTCGGGTGAGGAAACCTTCCTACATGGCTCCATAGTATTATGACCCAAATTTGGGCAAGGAAATCTTTCTCATCTAAATTTGGGTGATAGAGAATTCCTCACCCAATATTTTAGCCATGATCATGACTCTTTCATTCTCAGTGGTGGCAGTTTGTGTGTGTTGAGTGAGTGCCTGCTGTTGCAGGTGGACGCTCCCCTCCTGCTTCTACCGTGGGAGCTGCTTGTGCGCATTTGCCACGGGGTGTACGCCTGGGACCTGTTCCACCTCGGCCAAACATGCCGTCGCCTGCGTCAAGTGACTCGCCACTGCGATGCTTGGAAATTCATCACGTACCCCGACGTAAGTGTTAAATCAGGGCCAGAGCCGGGCAAAGCCGGACACCACTCCGTACACTGCTGAAAATAAAAAGGTTAGAATTCATACGTACACTCCCACGGGAGTGCGGGAGTGCACGTGAGAGTACACGCTGCGCTGTATTGATTGTAACTGATTGATTGCTCAGTACACTGAGCACACTTCTGAGTTTGCAGAGTGGCGTGGCCACCCTAACTTTAAACTTGTTTGTTCAAAATACATCTTTTAATCGTTTTTAAATTTCTTTCAGTATCTGGATACGACGATGTCGATGCCCGTGTACCATCCACTCGACTCGAGAGAGCTGTGGGCCCTGCTGCACCGCGATGACACGATGCCCCTGCTGCGCGTCGCGCCCGCCTTGGACACCCTCAGGCTGCGCTTCCGCTGGCCGCCTGTAGATTTCCTGCAGTACACGAAGCAGGTCAGTATGCAAGCGTGGATCTAGACGCTGTCTATGTGGGAAAAGCAGGGTTTTCGACAAAGGTTGTCCAAATCAAACGAAACTTTGGTTTTGGGTTCTCCTCAACCCAAAGACATGTAAAAATAATTTTGATTTTTTTTTCGACAAGTTTTGTTGAAATAGGAATATTTTTAATTTTACTCAAAAGACGCACGAATTGGTTTTAAAAAAAAGTTTTCAGAGATCAATCAACAAGGAATTTTTGAGTTGTGTCCCATGTCTTGGTCTTGCTCAGTTTAATTGATGAACCATTTTACGTTAAGTGTTTTTCTCATTTTTACCCAAACAAAATTCCAAAATGCCCCTTTGCCTATCTATTTGATTATAACTGGTGCCAAACTGAAGATATTTTAACTTTCTAAGCCTCCTTGCTGACCAAACACACTATTTTGCTCCCCAACTTCACAGTGTGTCGTGGAATACCATAACAGGTCATTTAACTTCAGGAGTTAAGTTGAGTTGATTATTTTTACATAAGGTAGATTCACAAAGACACAAGTTGAGTTATCTCCTTTTGCTATTCTGTGCAATGGAGTTATGCGGACTTCGGTTGAGTTACCTCCATTTTCCGATAAAATTTAGACCGTCAAAGGGGTCAAGTTGAGTTCTATCTATTTTTTATGTGGATGTTCTCCTAAACTGTTAAGAATTAGGTCAAGCAATTCGGTGTAGTGATGCAAACCATCCTGAGGCACAATAATAAGATAAAAACCCAATTTGGAGATAAGTCGAATTATTCCCTTCTTCCGCTTCCTGGATCAAGCAGGTCCGTGTCTTCGAGGTGGTGTGGCCATCGCCGCGCTTCGAGGAGCCGCCCGAGCCATGGAGACTGGCTCGCACTCTGCAGCACTACAAGGGCCATCTGCAGGAGGTCCGGCTGGACCGCATGTTGTACGGCTGCCTGCTCAAGGACATTGATGCCCTCGGAATCAAGGAGCTGTACATCGCGGACAATTTGGTAAGGAGAAAACTATTGAAAATGGGACAGGAAGTGCACCGCAAAGAGCAAGGACCAAGCCTACGCTGCATAGCGTTGACTTGTGGACTGAACTGGCCTGGGCTTGCGAGCATACACCCTTTTCTTCCGGTGTTGTCAACAGTGTAGGGTGTATCCCGGCAGCACCAAGACCATCACTCAACTCAAGTTTGACGGGGACCAGATCGACGGCGACGCCCTGGCCGAGGTGCTGCTAGGCTGTCGTGAAACCTTGATGTCGTTCAGGATGTACGCCGCGTTTGTCCACAAAAACCCCTGGGCGCACGTTGAGGACGAATCGGGAGTTAAGGTGTGCCAAGCGCTGAAGCAGTGCACCAACCTGGAGGTTAGTGTGCTCACTTTTTATCAGGGGCGGTTCCAGCATTGCCTTTCGGAAGAGGCCATGACACATCTTTTGCCTACCTTCAGGCGGAGTGTCCACTGAGAATGAAGGTCTTGATCAATACCCGTGCATTGCACATGTAATTTTGGGCGAGGTATACTTATCACGATCCTCGCCTAAATTTGGGTGTCAGATACGAGGGGTAAATCACTCTGCGTTCTCGTGTACACATGAGTACATCTGTACGGGTGAGTAGTACACCCTGCTTGCTTTACTCATCAATTTCACATTTGCAAACATTTTATTGCTTCATTTAGCGTTTTTAACGGCTTTCAACGCCAAATTGGTCGAAAAACTAGTGAATTTCGCCCTTTTTAAACCAGTGAGTACACCGAGTGGCCAAATTTGTACACATGAGTGCACTAGTTGTGATTGACCCCTCGATCAGATACGTGTATGGCCACCTGGTATTAACTCCCAAATTTGGGTGAGGAAACCTTTTTCACCCAAATTTAGGCGATAAAGAACTCCTCACCCAAAATTAGGGGCCAATGGCCTCCCTGCAGACGCCCCTGTTTTTGGTCTCCTCTATGTTAGCTCCTTAACACCCAAACGTTTCTGAGGGTTACACTCTAATGTTCTACAGTGGAGATTCTCCATAGTATGGTGAAAATGTTCCATATTATGGTGGTGCAGCTGACTTCGCAACAAACCATTCAGAATTCACTGTACCTTATAGATATTTTGACGAATTTCGTTGCTATTATGGAGAAAATCTTCACCATATTATGTTGGTGCAGCCTTTCACCGTAAGACATTTACAGTGTACGTCCATGCGCTGCATGCAGGTAGCCAAGATCACCACATGGGGCGATGTGACCATGCTCGGCTCCTTCCCCAAACTGCGCAAGCTGACCCTGTGTGACTTCGGGTGCGACGCTCCCGCCCTGAACTTCTTCAGGTCCTCGCCCGTGATGGGTGGGCTGGAGTCTCTGTCCCTGCGCCTGGGCTTCTATGCTCACCGCGGCGTGCTTCGGGCCGTGGCAGAGGGCTGCCGCAACCTCAGGTGCGTTTGTAAGGCCCCAAAAGATTCAAGGTTACTTGCTTTATTGTCTTATTGTACCACAAAAGACTTTATAATTAATGTTTTGTGCGGTAACTCAAATGAAACTGAAAGTTATAATGGTTTTATTGTTCTCCAAAGTGCCTTTTGTCGTAATTTTTATCACGATTTTTTTGCCAACTTTTTATTGCTTTTTCTTTGTTGGCACTATCACCCAAACAAAAGTAATACTTTCACTGCTAAATTTAGCTTTGAATTTTTGGAGCAGATTGTGTCTATCATTGCCAATAATTGTAATCATTTTTTTATATTGCACAATATGGCCAGTGGTTATTGCAGTTTCATTGACAGTGTGCCCTCGTTGTCCAGGCTGCTGCGCCTGATCCCAGACCAGGCAGTGGAGTCGCGCGGCCTCATGGCGTCAGTGGATCTGCCGTCGGACCTTCACTTGATCCTGGGCCGTCTAGTGGACCTGGACACGCTGGCCATCTACGAGGCGCGCCTGCGCAGCACGGTGTTGGACGGACTGGCAGGCGGGGCGCTGCCTCTCTTGCGAAAGCTGCTTCTGCACGGCTGTGGGGTAAGGCTTAACCACCACGAGATTGCACTAATACGAGCAAATTTTTAGGTCAAAGATACCACAGTGCCATCGGGGCGGTAGTAAATAGTAGTAATAAATTATCTAGAGGTAGGTTGGGGAAGAAAAGTACAGGGTAAGAAAAAAAACGCCCCCCTTGTGGCCTACTCACTGTTAAATTTTTTTACTGAAAGTTCATAATTTTTGGTAAGAAGTCGATTTACTTACATTCAGTCTGAATTTTCATACCAAAACTTTCATACTTCGAGGTCTTAAAGTTTCCGACGACGTTAGTCTAAATTTTCAGATCACTATGTTGTATGAAAAATGAAACCAGTCAGTCAATTTTATCAGACTAAGTTGTACGAAGAACATGAACAGTCGCACTAATAAATACCACTCTGTAGAGTGGAGCACAAATCGGCGAACTTTTGCACCCACGTAATTTGCTTAATTTTTCATCGTACTACGCGTGAATTTCATCGTCCATCGTCTTACGCATGAATCTTATTGTAGTACGTATGGTCTCATTTCAACGTATGCTACGATGGCCCTTTCATTAAAAGAATCTGAGGTGTGTAACAAGCTGCCTCAGTTGAGCTGCGCCCCGTCTCCTGACACTGAGTTGTTTATGTTCTCCTTGTTCATAGTTGACGCCGAAGGCTAGATCCGCGTTGGACTCGTTGCGAGCCCGCCGCCCGGACCTGGCCGTGGTGGAGAAACACCCTCAGGTTGCGGTGCGCGAGAAGGACAACCACTGGTTGGCCTTCTCTGAGCGCTGCTACGCGGATGCCTGCGACGTGGACTCGAACTCCGAGAACTCTGACTCCGCCTCAGACTCCGACGATTCAGAATCGGAGGACGAAGACCCCATCCCGGGCGACCACGACTACGACACTGAGCTTGACACGGTCGATCCGCACGCAGACGTGGAGCGTCTAAGCAGCTTTCTAGTAAGGCGCTTCTTCAGAAAAATTCGATTCCGTAGCCAGTGCGCGGAGGAACTGAACATCCCATGTTTTACTTCAAATACCGTCTGCCTAGGCATAACAACCATCAAAAGTTCCGTGGCCTCAGCGGTTCATTACAGGTTAGATGTTGAAGCCTGTGCATGCAGCATTTAAAGTAAAATATGGGGTGTACAGTTTTTCCCCGCACTGACCCTCCTTGACCTTTCCTTGACTTTCCACGGCCCAATTCGAGTTTTCCCTGGCCTTCAGACGATCACGCTCTGCAAACTAAACAATGTACTCCACTGCAAACCTAACTGTCTACTAAGTACACACTTACAAATGCATGCTTGCAAGTACACACTTACAAACGCATCTTGGCGCCGTATAACTCAATGCGTCAAGCATGCGTTTGTAAGTGTGTACTTGCCAACATTCATTTGTAAGTGTGTACTTGGCCAATCATACGTTGCAAGCATGCATTTGTAAGTGTGTACTAAGTAGACATTTAGGTTTGTAGTGTCGGTACACTCTCTTTGAAGTGTGCTCACGAGTACATTCTCTTCAGCGTGTACTTATGAGTAATGAGTACGCTCCCACGAGCGTGTTCTCAAATAAGTACACCTTCAGCTGCCTTTATTGCTTGGCGTCCTAAATGTGTGTCTTCTAAGCACACTTTCCTTGGAGTGTGCTTATCTGAGTACACTCTCGTTGGAGTGTACTTGTGAGTACACGCTGAATGGAGTGTACTGATAACACGGTTGAGTTTGCAGAGCACCTTCAGTTTTGAATCAAGCACAGGAGTTGCGCAGCGCTCCGATCATTGTAGCGTCAGAACTTTTACAAAATTGTCCCAAAACAAATTAATTGTGATGGAATGGAGCTAATCCGTTTTTGTCGTGCTTGTTCTAGGATCCATCGGACACGGAATGCGATGGTAACGACTGTGGTTCATCCAGTTCCTCTGATTAAATTTACTACTCATGCACTCTTATAGAGTTTTGTGCCATTAAGACAGAAAAAATGTCTAGTTTGTTTTCGTTATTTTTTTTTTCAAATTGTTTTTTATTTGTAGAAATGGTTATTTACTTATGGCTGTTGACCGTTACTGTAGCAATTAAGGTTTTTCCTATTAAAACTGAAAAGGAAAAAAACCCAACCCCAACCAAAGGGGACGCGGCCCCTTGGATAGGGCGGTCCCCTGGAAACCCCCGGAAAATCCCCTTTCAAACCCAAATTCCCTTTGGAAAACGGCCGCATTTAAGGTTCAAAAAATCTCCCCTTGCATAAGACTAAAAAACCCTTTCCCAAAATTTTTTTTAAAAAGGGAGGTGCCGAACTCATTAAATTTTAAAATCCCCCAATATGTTAGGGGGTTTTCCCCCAAAACCCACATTTTGCCTAACTGGCAGGCTGATTTATAGGGCCTTGTGGTCTGGAGGGCGGATCCCCAAGTCCATAGGGCTGATCCCCAAGTCCAAAGGGCCGATCCCTAAGCTCATAGGGCCGGTCCCCAAGTCCATAGGGCCGGTCCCTAACTTGATAGGGCCCGGCCCTGGCTGAGCCCTTCCCAAGGGGCCAAGCCCTTTCTCGGATAGGGCTTGGCCCCTTGGGAAAAGGGACCGTCCCTTTAAAATCATGGGGATTCTTTCCCTTGGGGAGGTAAAAGTAACACGAGATATTTACTGTTTAGTCCAAGCTACGCTGCGCTAGCAATCGCAACTAGGTTCAGGTTCACTGAGAAAATAATTTCCGCTCCTGCACCAAATCTCCGGTTTTCACCATCAAAATGTGTTCCATCCGTCAATTACTGAAGCAGACATCAAAATTAAGGAGGTAATCCAAAGCGATACAATTCTGCATTGCCGATGAAGAGCCGTAGAGAATCTTGCCTTAAAAAAAAGTGGATTTAAAGAAGAGAAAAGTAGGGTAATGTCCGTAACTCATTAAATAAATTAAAACTTTTCGTGTCAGCCTAATAGTTAAGAATTATAGGCTTACGAAAACGAAGTGAGGCTGTATGTTGTATGTTGCAACATTGCACATTTATTCGTTTCAACGTCATCCTGAATGATAAATTTGGCGCCTCAGTTGACACATTTGCAGGGTTCCTTAACTTATCCCAATAGGGCATCTCAACGTTATCGTATGCGTCGAAGTTATTACCCGTAACTTATGACTTCTTTTGAACACTAGGAGAAATAATGAAGATTGTGGCTGTTAAACCTAATGCCACTCTCCACTGTTTACCGAAAGAAGGTGTTTACCGTACCCTGGGATACAGTAGACACCGTACCTGAAAGAACGGCGTTCACTGTATCCAGGGAACCTGCATCCACTGTACTTGGAAACTTTTCAGACACGGCATTCAGTATAACTGTAAGATAAAGGCGAAATTCCAAAATCGCGATAGGAACGTTTCGATGACGGAAATGAATTCATCTCAACAAGACGAACAAAAAATGATAAGCATGTTATGGGCTCAGACTCGAAATTCAACAGATATCGGCATCAAAAGTCTAAAAAAGTAGAATTTTGGAACGTAATTTGATGAGTCCTATGTTAGGGGTCCAAAAATCCTTCTTTTTTAGACTTCTGATCACGATTTCCACTGAATTACGAGTCTGAGACCATAACATGCTTATCATTTTTTGTTCGTCTTGTTGAGATGAATTCATTTCCGTCATCGAAACGTTCCTATCGCGATTTTGGAATTTCGCCTTTATCTTACAGTTATACTGAATGCCGTGTCTGAAAAGTTTCCAAGGTACAGTGGATGCAGGTTCCCTGGATACAGTGAACGCCGTTCTTTCAGGTACGGTGTCTTCTGTATCCCAGGGTACGGTAAACACCTTCTTTCGGTAAACAGTGGAGAGTGGCATTAGGTTTAACAGCCACAATCTTCATTATTTCTCCCAGTGAAGTAAGCTTTTCTAGCTTCTCGAATTTTTATTTTGGAGTACAGTACTTGCAACAATCCATACCCTTAACCTCTAATGAACATTGTCTTATGTTAAGCAATGTTGGTTAAATGTTCTGTTAAGGTTCTCTGCAAGTTGCAAACCTTACATTCTTCAATATGCTGAAAGATGTCCGTTGAAGTCTGCACATCAGATGACCCCTACGGTCTCGGTGCGGCTTCACCGTGGAGTATCATGTAGAAGTTCACCCTCCTGGTCCTGGGATAGCTTCAACGTGGAGTATCTTGCAAAAGTTTATCCTCCTGGTTTTGGTATGGCTTCAACGTCAAGAATCATGCAGAAGTTGATCCGGGTGCTGGTACTGGATGGCCGTGCCCTCGCCCGTATTCTGTAGTGCCCATATGGCATGACGGGGAAGTGAGGAAATGTCCAGTTCACTGGTTCGTTCGAGAAAATGTAGCGTCCCTGACGGAAAGAAAGAAGGGACTGCACGGTAAAAACGGTTCCTGGTTTTCCCAGGAACTCCCTGGAAATGGCCCATACCTTCCCCATTGGCTTCCTGGGAAAACCAGGTTCCGTCTTTTCCGTGTGTGCAAAAGCGAAGCCATTCGGATGGGATTCAAAAGCTTGCTGTAAACGAATATCCGCATTCCTCCTTCTACACGGCTTTACTAATATTCATTAGGGTCATTACAAGCCGTTTCTAGCGCCAAAAATTTGGCAAGCCTTGACCTCAAATCTTCACAAGCTTGCGGAATTTGGCAAGTTGGAGAGTGTTTCCTGTCCCAGCTTGTCCGTTCGTGGCATTCAAAAGAGGTTGCCTTGTGGAGAGCAAACTTCCCACAGGCATTTAAGTGTACACTCCTAGGGGTGTTCTGAGAGGAAGTGCATTTGTGAGTTGCAACCACTTTTAGAGCGTCTCAGGCGTCTTGTGGTTTACCGCCATAGGCGCCTTCTACTGAAACGCCTTTGTCGCTCTATGCCGAGACATATCTTGCAGAACAGTCATGAATTATAGCGTTTGATTGAGCCCCTGGATCAAAGGGTGCCACCCTTGAATGCTCCTTTCTTGCCATGAGCTCGTCGCCATTGACAAGGCTTTGTGACAGCAAACACCTTATGTCGTTTCTCATAGGCCTATGGCTTGCAAAATGTGACTCCGTGGGAGGCCCGTTTCGATCCATGGGCTTATTGAATTAATTATATGCGATCTTTCATTGATTGACTGGTTTGTCTTGGCAGGGAGCGACAGAGGCGGTTTAGAAGAAACCGCGTGTATGGCGTTTCACCGAAAAGCGCCGACCAAGCCTCAGACGCTTTAAAAGTGGATGCAACTGACAAATGCTCTCAGAACACCCCAGATGTGACTGACTCGGACTGACCGCTGTGTGCCTGGAGTCTACAATAGATTCGAAACTTGACGGACATACACTGCAAATCCAAGTGTAGGACAGGTCGACACTTCCAGGCGTAGACCAGTTTGTCCTACGCTTGCAAGTGTCGACCAGCTGTGTCCGACGCTTTGAAGTGTCGACCACACTGTGTCCGACGCCTGCATGTGTAGGACACTGTTAGTCCTACGGCAAATTACACTGCGTTTCCTATTGTGCCCCCACACTTCCGCCGTCGGACATACTGTGGTCGACACTTGCAGGCGTCGCACACAGTGTGGTCGACACTTCAAAGCCTCGCACACTACTGGTCGACACTTGCAAGCGTAGGACAAAATGGTCTACGCCTTATAGTGTCGACCTGTCCTACACTTGGATTTGCAGTGTAAGTACGGGCATACCGCTGGAACGCGACAGGGCACCGCCTTGTCCGTGGACGCTCCGCTGTACTTCGCTATGATGCGGAAGAAGTCGGGGACGTTTTCGCGCAACGAGGAGCACCCCGTTTTAGGGAAATTCATGATGAAGGCGTTTTCTTTCCACTGGTTGTTTGATCGCACGGCAAAGTCAACGAACGTCTGAAATTGAATAATCAAGGCAGATGTCCGTCAGTATCGCTTCGTCACCGTCCCACGTATACATGCTGTGGCGCAAGTAAACCCAGAGAATTTCTGATAAACGGTGGATTTACTAGTAACCTGCCAAAGAAACCACTTATTTTGAGCCTGAGCCGAGCCTCTTCATTCTCATCCCAGGAATGTGACATCACGTTGAAACGAACGTGACAAAATGTCACGCTCGTTTGAGCATTGTGTGGCATTCGTTTGGGTGTGAATTGGCCAAAAATATGCTTGATCACATTCAAACGAACGGGACAATGCTCAAACGAACGTGACATTCTGTCACGTTCGTTTCAGCGTGATGTCACGTTTCTGGAATGAGAGTGTTCTTACGTCAATTTTATAAATTGGAAAGAGGTTATCAAAATTATTTTTTCTTTTTCTGATGTTTTCCAGGTTGATCATACGGTAAGAACGGTTTGAGAATCAGCTCCAGCTAGCGGACTGCATTCCAGGTTAGGATCAGACTTAGTTTCGACCAGCCGGACACATTTTGACCATTTCCGAATTTACTTCAGATCTCATTAAATTTACGGTAGGACATGACTATTATTGTCAAATAGGTTATTAGTGAGTCCAATACATGTTAAAATTTCTGAGTTAATTTAAAGACCTTACATATTGCGTCCCTTACCCAGTGATTGTCCATTACGTCAACTCTGAACGTCATGTTTCCTGACAGAATCTGGTTGTCGAAAGGCCTCACGGGGTTGAAGTGGCTGATACGGAAAATAAGGACTACTCTCTCGACTGATGGACATACTTCAAATTGATGTACAAACCCGAGGTAGGGTCCCTGGAACAGACGCCCGTTTAACGGTCAAAACGAGGGGAATACCACAAGGTTGGCGTGTGCCATATCGTGTGTAGAGCTGAAGCATAAGTTGAGAGGAAATCAAAAAGCACAGAAGCCCGACTTGTATGAGAATATGGCTTGATGGATTCGGCACCCAAGTCGCAAATTGATCCAGGAAGCGGAAGCAGTGAACATGACTCCGTTGAACATATTTTTGATAGGAGATAACTTGACGTGTCTTATTATATACCTGTCGTAGAAAGAATCAACCCTTTACCGCAGGAACCGACACACTCTGGTGACTGTAGTTCCACTTGACTTGTCGCCATAGTCCACTTCGTTTAGGAAACATAAGTTGAGATGACTCTGTTTCACATGTTAACTGAAAGTGACAAGTCACAGATATCCGTGACCTGACACTTCTGATGTTCATTTCAAAATTTAACTCACGCATCTTGAACTTGTTATCACCGTTGTTCCTACTAACAGTTTTTTGTCTCTCCTTAAAAATGGCCACAATAGAGTTGCACCCTTCTTTCGCTTCTAGGATCAATTCATTGATGATTGGAGGTCGAATAAATTCCCGGAGTTGATACTTGTCAGAACGATAGTAAATTAGAGGGTCTGCTAGCCCTTTAGTTACCCGTGCGCCACCTGAAACTACATCCCTTTTCCTAAAATGCCGTCAATTGCGTCAATTGATAGTGCAGCACAGTAAGTTTCTCATACCTGGGATTGGCGCAGTGGAAGCAGACGATTCGAAAAGTAAAGTGTAGTGATCAGGACAACTTTTGTCTCATATGTAAAGATTTTCTTGTTTATTGTGGTGTGGGCCACGATATGTGAGCTCCTATATCAGTCAGGGAGTTTGTCCTGATAAAGGACTGACGGAATCAATTGGCTAATGTGTTGAATTCTTCATCAGGTTAGTACAAGGTAGGTTTACGCCAGACCGCGTCTTGTCGTTACAGGCTTCGCGATGTCTCGCGGCCTGTTCCTCCAATCCGCGCTGAGCGTACCTCCCCTTGGCCTGCGGCCGCAGCCTGCTTCGGCAGGCATTGGCTTGTCCATCGTCCACTTCTTACGTGTTGCATGCTGTGGGGCTCCGCCCCCCAGATCTCCCCTTAATTCTGAAAGAGTTGCTTAATCTACAATAACACGATCTTGACCCTTGTAACTTTTTACTTGTCGGGGTTGGGGATCTCCGGCCCCAAGACACCCCTTTCTTAAAAGACAGGAGTGTTTTCTTGCTGCAGAAAACTAAATTAGTTCGCCGTTTATTTAGGGTGTTTTTTCCTAAAAACTGAACTCACTTAAAGTAGGACAGTAAAGTTTCGCGTATGCCGAGGCCAGTGGACATACGTTTCAAAAAGTAAAATGATCAGCCAACGGCCATAGTAAAGTTCTGTTAGGAGTGTGCACACATAGGACATACAGTCAGGGAAATTTTCCCAACCCCACGGGAGGAATCAAGGCTTGTTAATTCTTCTCAGCTTAAAAATGAAGTAAGGGGAATACTCAGACTGAAAACGTTATTTTCATATGGCGGAAATGGTCTGCGCAAGCATAATTTTACTCGTTAACCCCAAATCTCAACGTTGAATTTAAATCACAAAAAATATATCTCTGGACCTGGAATGTCTGATTTGAATTGATGTTTGGGGGTCAATTCGAAGCTCAGAAGTGATCTTAAAAGTGAAAACGCACTCTTGGTTCATGCCGTTCAAGTTTCGAAACCAAATTTAGCCCCAAAAGTATAAAATGTGGACCGATCCATAGTTAGGAAAATTTTGTGGGCTTGTTCGACTAAGGATAAGTGACTTTTGAAGCAAGTATTGTCAAAATCTAAGGACCAGCTTTTTTTATGCATCCATTTTTGTGAAATTTTCATTGATTTTTCTTAACATTTTCCAAGTTTTTCAACTTTTTCAAAAATAAATTCTTCTTATGGATAGAGTAATCTTTTGTGAAGACAATGAAACCTGGCTGGTCACTATCTGACCACAGATGCTCTGTGGGCGAAAGTTGCGATATTCAAAGTTGACAAAAATTTCAAATCGCTATAAAATCTGAACGGTTTGGAGTTGGACCAAAAAATTTTGTAGGGTGACTCAAGGGGTCATGCCGAGAGGATTGACTCCTATATTTGCCAATTCCATCACCGTCGATTTCGGGGGGTGCGATGGTCTGGCGTGGAATTACCCACCAGTGGTATGGGCAATACATGTGATACAGTCGTAGCGATATACTTAAGTAATGTAGCGGTAATATGCAAGTAATATATGGTAGTATACAAGCAATACAGGGAGCCACCACGTAAGAGGTAATTTATGAGTTAAAGACGCCCCTCGATGGAACTTTGGTAAATGGTTGGCTATTCATCGTGACATTTTGGGAGAATGGCTCGGCTGCCGCTTGTCCGCCTTTCGGCTTCCTCACAATGAGTTACCGTGCACTTACCGCATACCAATGGATGTTTCTGCCGGAAACGCAATCAAGGGTCAGAAGCGGTAGCAATGCAGACGCAAGGATGGCAGGAATCGTTGACAGCACTAAGCGTCGCAAAGAGAACGGCGTTAGTCTCAGGAAGGGTGCCTCGTAAAGCACAATTTTTACTCTTTTGCTCCCAGAGGCTTTGAAGGCTGTGAGGTGGACAGCACGCAGATGCTCGACACACAGTGAAAAGAAGAGCCATGATAATCAATTATCACAAAGTTTTATCACCCAACTTTGGGTAAAGAAGGTTTCCTCACCAACCTTGGGTGATAATTGCTGAGCGCAGCGAAGCACCCTGTTGGGAGATTTAAACGTTCGAAATGACCCCCCCCTCATACCTTCAGTGTACTAGAGGTATCTTCCTACTACTATCAATCCTATATTCATATGCGTATTCATAGTCTCAGCCATAAAGGCCAAGCTGTATAAAGCGAGCCCTAAAGGCCAAACTCAATAGAGTACTCCAAAGAAGCTCTGGCCCGTAAGAAGAAGAACAAAAACGGAAGTAAGAAATTGCAGTATCTATGAGAAATATACGCTGCGCATGAGGGTCCGCAGCATATATTTCTCATAGAAACTGCAATTTCTTACTTCCGTTTTTGTTCTTCTTTTTCCGGACCAGAGCTTCTTTGCACTGTTAGAAATTAGCTCCGAAATTTTATGGAGAAAAACCCTATAATCACGTACATGGAGACTCCATTCATTTTCCATTTTTTTTCGGAGAGATTTTCTCAAGGCTTATACAGATGTTCTTCGGAGCATTCCTTGGGTCCAGATGGGAGGTAAAATGCAAGTCTTTTCTCACATATATTAAAGAGGACTTCGCTGAAGCATTTTTTGGCTGAAATGGTCAAAGAAGAGACAATCTCATTCGAGCTCATTTGACTTATATGCTGTAGCTTTCCCTTAAGGCCAGGGACAGGTGAAAAAATGAAGAAGTTTGGTGAAATTGAATGAAATGAGTTCCGGGTGGAAAATGGTCCTTTGGACCTTCCTCTTTCAGGATCTGTCGGGACTTCGACTATCCGGGACCTGGAAGTGCTTAAAATACATCTTTTCACACACTCCTGCATTTACGACACTTTAGTAAAATTGTCCGTTTTGCCATCAAGGGGGGAGGGGGGGGGGTCTAGCGAAAATCTTGCCATTTTCAAAATGAACCCCACTGTCATAATTTGTTGGGAATATGAAATCATACTTCAAAGACACTAAGATTCGATTTTTGAAGGCATATGCTAGGTCTTGAACCCAGTCGAATTGTCTTTTTTGGACTGTTTTGGCTTTATTTAGCCGTATCTTGAACAATCCTCTTGCGCATACTATTTTGACGTAAAAGGCTTATCTTCACATTTTGCACTTCTTCGTTTCATTTTAAAAAGATTCCAGCATGCCTAGTTCAAAATTTTCATTATATTAGTAATCACATGCTTTTTTCATCTAAGAAGTCACTAAAACTTGTCTATTTTGTACATTGTTGATCAATTTAAGTGAAATGCATGCTTTAGAAGCTTGCCAATGATAATGTAATGGACATTTTCAGTTGTGCATGCTGGGATCTTTTAAAAATGAATCGAAGAAGTGAAAAATATCCAGGTCAACCTTTTACGACAAAATAGTATGCGCAGGGAGATTTTTTTGGCTGAAAATCCATTAAAATCTGTCACCAAACTTTAAACGCCCTTTTCTCCGAAGACATTTTTTTAACATTTGAATGGTCCTGTGCGCATACAGTTTGAAGTGTCGTCAATGATTTTTTTTCCACTGACTCAGTAGGTTATTGCGAGGAAACGCAAGTGACATTTTTTGTATATTCCACCCAGAAGTATGGTTTTGGATATCGGTTTTTACAAAAAAAGGGAAAATCTTTGGTTTTTGAAAAATATCAAAATTGAAAAGTTGGTATTTTGCTATCAGTGCCGGAAACTAAAATCTGTCACTTGCGTTTGTTCTTTGGACTTAGACGAAAAAAAAAATATGTCGGTCAGGTCAAAAACCCCAAAAATGGGAAACGCACAGGAATTTTTTAACAAACACTTAAAAAATTATAAAAAAGCCTGTATCTCAGGAACCGCTTGATTATGGGATGGGATTTTGGGTGAAATATTTTATCATCAAGAGTAAGATTTTGACAGAAAATAAGAAGTTTTGGACCAGCAGTTTCTGAGATCATTTTTTCACCTGTCCCTGGCCTTAATATTATGAAAACTGAGCTCAAGCAGTAGGGGTTCACCTTTCCCTCAATTTTTAACTGGTTGCAAACCTTTTTTTCGTGTTTTTGTGATAAGGAAACATGCATTTTTGTTCAATTTTCCGAAATTTTTCGGAGAAAGCCCAGAATTTGCATTTATGGAGAGCTCCATGCAGAAGTTTCGGAAAAACTCCATGATTTTTCCATTTTTTTTCGGAATTTTCTGACAGTGTGGAGTACTCTATAGTCCAAGCCCTTTAGTCCAAACTCTGTAGTTTAGTCCACAGCTTCATCTACACATGAGCGGGCCTCAGCTTTTAGAAGGCCCTGGCTAGTCACGTGTAGCTCATAAGCCGCAGATACGTACTTCACCGCCCAATTTTAGGTTAGATAACCGTCATGACCAAAATTTGAACTACAATACAATCCTCATTCCAATTTGCGTAACAAAGCTTACTTCAGCCAATGGTATTGGCCAAGACTCAGCCCCGGCGCCGCAGTTCAAGGGGTCTTATTCGAAAGATCTTATCTGGGCGTTCTCGTTCTCCTCAAGAGAATCTTTTCTTAAACGCAAGGCGGATTTCACTTAGTTTTATCATTTGATATACATCTGAAAACCAATATAATTTGTGATTAAACTCACTAGAACCTAAAGATGACAGATCAAAGAAACCAACCAAGAGTACCTGTAGAAGTATATTCCGCTAACTCTCGTATCCGTCCCAAATAATGAAGCTGAGTGAAATTTGCCTGAGTTTAATAAAGATAAGATTCTGTTGAAGGGAACGCCCAGATAAGATCTTTTTAAGAGGACCCCTTGAGTTGTGTTCACTGCTCTCTGGAAAAGAGGAATGATTTGCCATAATAAGTGAAATTGGCTCAATACCAGTGAAGCCGAAGTCTAACAGACACGACAGCCCAGTGCATTAGCCTTGAATTTATAAAACTAACAAAATTAGTGCGCGCAGGGAGTTATGGCCACTGTTGAAACTTTTCTTCCAAAAGTAAGAGCGACTAGGTTCAGTAGGCTCCCAATTGATCCAGGAAGCGGAAGAAGGGGATAACTCAATTTTGGCCATTTTTCAGGAGAAACAAAAAACTGTTAGCAGGGAAAACTAAAACAAAACAAATGAATGTTGCAGATGTTAATAATTTCAAAAAGCATAAGTAAAATTTTGGAAAAAAATCAATAGTGTAAGGTCACTCCGTAGAGGATTTCTGCGACTTATCACTTTCCGTTGAAATGGAAAACAGAGTCAGCTCACCTTATATTTCCTTAACAAAGTGGAATTTGGAGACAAGTCAAGTGGAACAATAGTCTACATAAAGTGTATGTTACTCTGGTGTATTTTTTGGACTTAGCTCTTTTTTCCAAATTAAAATTTAAAATTAAGGGGGGGTTAAGTTGAGTTGATTCTTTTTACACATGATTCACAAAAATACAAGTTGAGTTATATCCTTTTGCCAATTTGTCAAACGGACTCATGGGGACTTCTGTTGAGTTATCTCCATTTTCCAATGAAATTTAGACTGTAAAAGAGGTTAAGTTGAGTTATACCCTTTTTCCATGTGGATTTTCTCCTAAACTGCTTGGAATTCAGTCAAATAATTTTGTGTAATGATGGAAACCATTCTAAGGCACAATAATAAAATAAAAACTCAATTTGGGGATAAGTCAAGTTATTCCCTTCTTCCGCTTCCTGGATCAATTGAGCAGTATCAATGTCACACTACCTATATAAAACATAGCTCTTTTAAGATCTCTTGTTGGTTCATTCTCAAGGACATCCCAGGATTGTTGTCAAAATGTTTTCGATCAAATGAAAGACGCAGGAAGCGTTTTTGGCTGAAACTCAAAACGCAACTTACATTTGACTAGACTCGGTGAGGAATAAATGTAAGGACTGAATTTGTGGGTCCCTCCCCACAAGACACAAAGCAATAACTATGGTCCAGGGATCCTTAACTTAACATGTAACTAGCACTGCTTTCATAACGTAACATAAGTCAATGTTCGCTAAAGGTTAAGGGTACGGACTTTTGAAAGTACTTCCAAAAGTATCTCCACACAAATTCGAGACACAAGGAAAATAACTTATCCTTTTGGAAAGAATTCAGAAGTTAAGCGGGTTATAACTTTAACTCGTACGATATCGGTTCGATGCCGTTGTGAGGTAAGTTAAGGATCCCTGCTATGGTCAATGTTTCACCTTGTTTGGCTGAAAACCTACTTGCAGTTTCAGCAGGGCCCCCTCCCCTCTCAAGCATGCGCCTGCTTAATCGCGCTCGCAAGCATTGCCCTTTCGAGAATGTGCTGAGTGCATCGCTGAGTAGGAGAGCCAGAGTAAATTTGAATCGAGGAAAGCATGCTGCACCAAACGTAGCCTACAATGCGACGTACAGTGTGCTCACACCGGCGACAAAAAGTTAATTTCACGATACCTACCGTTCTTCTGGCCGTGGCAGCAGCTCCGCATTGTCGGCGTGTTGTGATGAGCGAAGCGAGCGATTTGAATCTGAGCCCTGATATGCCAGCGGCACGCGAGATCGTCCCCCATTATAAATAGCCACGGCCACAACTCACCGATATCCATCGGGAAACACGAGGGTCCCTATTGATCAGAATAGGAGCCGGAAACGAAGTCTAATGTGAACTATGATGTTACCATTTTCAAAACCGAACGCCCCCAGAAAAAAAAATTGTGTTTAACACGTGGAAACTTGTGTAGTGATGGCCGCTTCTCTATGCCACTCAGCGACTTGACATAAATCGAGGCAAACCCATATGCTGAGGAACTTACCTAAAAGCATTGAACGTTGGCCTCTCCTGAAGAAAAATTCCTATCTCGTCAATCATGCGGAGGCACTCATTGCAAAGCATGTCCGATCTGTCTGGTCAAAAAGTGCCGCGGAAAATGCACCAACGTCTTTGATTTCATGAAACACCATGGTCCAATAAATCTCTACAGCAGCGTCGAATTCTTTCGAAGGTATTATGGCAATGCTTCTTCAAATTTATTTAAATAGGCAGTGTATAAGTTCAGCTTGCTTATCTTATTCTAAAATTTGTTTCAGGTTCTTTCTTCAAACCCACCACAAAGGACCAAGCGTCCCATGAAATATAGGACAACAGATCCCATCGATTCAAAAGTAAAATGTTTAGCAGCAAAACTATCAAATTTAAGTTGAAGTGTTGAAATGCTACTGTAACGTGTAATGTGTCATCGAACACATGAACAGTTTTCACTGCTTTCATCATTCTTTCCCAACGAAACCAATTGTAACATTTTTAAGTTAAAAGATCAGATATTGTTTCACTAATGATTCTGCAGTCTAAAACAGTGCTACGGACTTTAGTACAGGTTTTAGGTTTTTCGAAACTAATGGTAACAGGAGCAACAGAAGCAAGGATCATAAACTGTGCTAAATTTTGAATCGATGTTGCATATTTCTGTAACACGTTACAAATTTCTGTAACACGTTTCAAATTTATGTTACATCATAGGATAAAAGAACGATGTGAAACAGAAAACTGTGACACTCCTGATACTGCAAAATTCGTTGTGGAAATTACTGCGTAACAATGTTCCAGAATTTTGCATTGAAATTTTCTAGAGTGAGACCGCCAACTTGAGTGATGTGCATGGAAGTCCTTGGGAGAGGGAGGGGTGGCTTACATGCCCCCTCCCTTTTTTTAAAGGGGTAGTGTGGTGACCACCCCAGCCACACTGCGAAAACCTTACAAACTATTTTGGACCTTTCAAAGAAAATAGCAGCTAGTTATAACAAAGTATTGTGAGCATTCATAAGCTTACTAAGAAAATACTTCGTAATTTACGAACTATTTCTTCGTACAACAAAGTAAATTAGTTTGTACTTTGTATGCTCAAGTTACTTCGCAAGGTTTTAAGCGTGCACGCACCACCACCCCACTCCACTGCACAAGCTCTGCCTGGGGGGCTGTTGCTCAGCTCCACACCAAAGGTCATTAAACGCAGGTGTTCTCCGGTTCGGCCGCTCTCAGGCGGCGCGCGGTGTGGGCAGGGTGATTAGCTGCCTTGCCGACGGAAGTCCGACGTCCGCCAGTCAATACCATCTGCGCCCGCAGACTCGATTCCAAGCTCAAGTAGTCAGTTTCAGTATACCTCCTTCATCAGAGGCGAGCAGAGGCGGGTTTGGCAGTGGCTTCAGGCACAGCGCAGGGCCCGGGCAGTCGGGAGAGGACTGTGGCGCACTTCGCGACGAACTCCCATACTTGCGCAATGAGGGCTGCTGAAACAGACGTGAGTCTTAAGCGTCTTTCATTTCACGAATCTCATTGATATGCAATTGTGTTGGTCCTGACCGGTGCAGTTTAATGACCTTGACAACCGGGTTAAAACTCCGACCTGAGAGGGGGGGGGCAAAGAACCACTCTTTGTCTCGGAGGCAAGGTTTTGCTTTAATTGTCCGCCCATGCAGCTTCGGGTCACAGTCACTTTATGACAAAATCGTGGATGACACTTTCATCACTTGCAAATGATGGAAATCTCATCACAGAGAGGTGTGATCAGGATCATATAATTATTTCATGGGCGTGGCTATTTGATGACATCATAGTTAGTAAAATTAGTCTTGAAATTGTCATCAAGTGAAAACCATCACAGTGCAGCTCGGGGTGGGACATTTTTGTATGGGGGCGGCGAAAACGCGCGAACTCGACGAATATTTCCCGCTTTAACTGCATAAAGCATTTCTAACAAACTACACGAAATCAGATACTTGACCACGTGGCAACCGTTTTCGTACAATTGCTAAGGAGCGAATTGAAACGTCTCATATAATTGGGAACCGTCTAGTCGAGCCGCGGAAATCATTTTCATGATGTCTCTTAAGTTTTTCACAATCGCTCGCCAAGGTTTCTCTGGGTGACTTGGCTGGCCTAACGCATAATATCTGAGCAGACAATCTTTCGAACAAATTGCGTCAATTCCCAGGACAATGTGGGGGCGGCTGGCACGACGCAGCGCCACCTCGGCGCCAAGCTTTGCAAGGACGCCCTGCGCCGACAAGCTGTGGAATTCTGCCTCCAGACTGGCATGCACGGCTACAAGTACATCGCCCAGCCGGGGAAACACGGCGTCGAGAGGTGCGAAAGGAGCGTGTGAGCAGAGCACTGAGTGCCGGCGGAGCCTGTTCCTGGTACACTCCAAATTCCAAGTGTGCCCAAGTGCCGCCAAGTGCACTCTCATTCCAGGAACGTGGAATCATGTTGAAACGAATGTCTCAAAATTTCACGTTTGCCTAGAAAATTACTCAAAATTAAGTGAACTTTTTTCTTAATTGATGAGATTTTTAGATCTGGAGAAATCCAGGAGTTGACGAATGGCTAAAACGACAAGGTGACGTTTTCACCTAGCGCACTAGTTTGAGAAGATTCAGAAACGGTCCCGATGCACTGGCAGTATGGGAAGCTTGGTGTGTGATGCAGGGTGTTCTGGGTTGTGGCGGTGGCAGTCTCCATGGTGGCTGCCGTTTGGACCATGCTGTTCGCGTACGACTTCAACCAGTCGCACCGCACTCTGCTGGCCGTGGACACGACGCACCACCCGCTGTGGCGCGTGCACGTGCCCGCCGTCACCGTGTGCCCCAGCAACAAGGTGCTGCGCTCCAGGGCGGCGCAGCTCATCTCCGCCATGTGAGTGCAGCGGCGGATCGAGAATCCAAACGCTATGGATACAGCGTTAATTGGTGCAATGCTTTTGCACGCGCTGCACATTACACTCATTCCAGGAACGTGACATCACGTTGAAACGAACAACGTGTCACGTTCGTTTGAGCATTGGGCATGGATCCTTAAACTTACCTCATAAGGGCATCATAACGTTATCATAAGAGTTAAAGTTATTACCCTTAACTTCTAACGGGTGATTCCGTGCGTAGGGGCCGTTTTAGCCACCTTAGAAAGTCAAGTAATTAATCTTGCTTGTTCGGCCGGAATTTGGCCTAGATGGCATCAATTGAACCCCACGAAGACACTCTGAGCGTGGGCGAGCTTGAAGTTGACTTTCGTTTTCTCCCCCTATAAAATATGACGAAATTGACTGAAAATATGACGGAAATTACGCTTGTCGGAAGTTACAAACAGGTGTTTCTGGCTCACTGCAACTGCATATCGCCACAGAAATATGCCATAAGTTTGGCACACTAGTTCGACGTCAAGACACATCTTTTCACGTGTAGGATGTCTTTCAAAACCCAATAGACGAGGAGCGAGAGGGGCATACGGAAATTACACCAATTGTTACAACCCACCGATTTCACTCACAACTTCCACTCGCACACTCACCCCCCTCACTTTTTCGCCACCGAAACTCGTTCAAATGGTAAACAGACCGTGCTGATTCCAAATACGGCGGTGGTTTTGAGCACGGAGCACTCCTAGTAGTTTTTTGGGTGCTTACTTTGAAACCGCTAAGGTAAAAGTCGGAGTACGGTGGACATTTAGTACGCGTTCTGAAAGTACAGTTCCAATCAATATACGATCTTCAAATTCAAGCAAGATAGTCACTATTAGTTGGAGATTTGATGGGTGTGTGTGGAATTCGAAGATTTGAATGGAACGAAGGGTTATAGAGCCGCAAAGTTGGTGTAAGGTGCGAATGGACATGACGGAACTTACAAAATCGACCCTTTGGCCCCTCTCCCGCGTCACATGTTAGCTTTGAAAGTCCGTATACAAAGGGAACAAGCTATTCTAGTGCCAAACAAGATTCTTAAGTGTGTAAATGGACTGCACTCGAATAAGTTCGCTCTGGGGAGGGTGTGGACACGAAAACGCCCTCTACGCGCGGAATCACCCTAACATCTTTTCAAAAGGGTAAGTTATTTTTTTATGTCTCGAATTTGTGTGGATATACTTTTGCAAGTACTTTCATAAGTCCGTACCATTAACCTATAGCGAACATTGTCTTATGTTACGTTACGTTATGACAACAGTGCTAGTTAAATGTTAAGTTAAGGATCCCTGGCATTGGGTCACATTCGTTCGGGTGTGAATTGGCCAAAAATCAGCTTGTTCACATTCAAACGAACGTGGCACAATGCTCAAACGAACGTGGCACAATGCTCAAAGGAACGTGACATTTTGTCCCGTTCGTTTTAACGTGATGTCACGTTCCTGGAATGAGAGTGCTTGAAGTGCAATGCCTTCCCATTTCCAAGCATAGGGCATTTTCGGGATGCACTGCTCGTATACTCTACATACTGAAGTGTGTACTCAGTACGCATACTTGCAAGTACACACCTGCAGATGCATACTCAGCTGAGTACACATCTGTAGATGCATACTTGGATGAGTTAGGTATGCAAACCAGTTTTCCCGAGGGGGTAAACACTCGTGTAATACCCTGTACACGAAAACCTTGTATTACGCGTACGTAATTGTATTTTGGGCCATATGTGCCAAATTTTGGCATTTTCTTACCGTAATACACGTGTAATATCGCCGTAATACCGCGTAATACGGAGTACTCTGTACACGATCTCTTGGAGTGTTTACCCCCTCGAGTTTTCCAGTGCCTTTTTTGGAGGCCATTGACTCCTGGGCCTTGCTGTGAGACCAATTAGTTGTCCTTGTTCAGGCGTCTGCCGGACGGAGTCACCGAGGAAGATGCCCTGCAGGACATGGCCAAACTAGTGGAAATCATTTTGCCGCGGGCCGTCAACACGAGCAACCTGGAGCGACTGCAGGCGATTCTGGACGCCAACAAAATGAGCGTCGACCAAGTCATGTGGATGGTACGGCGTTTCATGACCCGTATTTCATATCCATCTTTTTGGCCCGTCCCGTGTATTTTTTTTTTGTAAAAAAATGACGGAGGGACGGGCATATAGTATGATGCATGCTGTGCGTCCGTTCGTTCGTTCGTTCGTTCGTCCGAGGACTTCCCGTGGTCCGATCTTGACCAAATTTGGTATACAGCCTCCTTGGGTGATCCTAAGAACCGCCCGGTGGCAGCAAATCCGATCCGAGCCCCGTGGGCGCTGCTGCAGGTGCATCATGGTCTACATGGGGTTGAGGAGGATTTCGGCAACGGTTACAGCTAGCAGGGCATGTAGGGGTATTTTTGGAATCAGGGCGACGAGTCGAAACCAATGGTGCCAGTTTCAAGCGAATCGGAGACGTTTGGACCCGGGTTCAAATCCCAGTGGGGTATATTTTGAACATTCTTTTTATTCGAGTTTTTGCATCGTTTCTGATGTTTTTGAGGGTGCTGATGACGAAAATAACATTTATTTTGACCCCAGACTCAGGTTCCAATCCCGTCAGGGCTAAACATAGGCGAAATTCACACATTTCTATTTGTACGGGACGGGCCAAAGTTGCCGGACGTATGTCGCTACTTTTCCTGTTATTGAATTTAGTGCAGAAGCTTGAAGCCAGTCCAAGACCTAATTCGGACTATCCTATAGTCTCTAAAAATTGGTCTGAGTTTTCGGATGTTTTGAAAACACTTTTAAAGCGTTTACGGGAACGCGTGGTGTTTGGCAGGTATCGCCCTCCTGTGACGAGCTTCTTGTCAAGTGTCGGTGGAAGAGGAAATTGTGCTCCCGCTGTTCAGACCTCTTTCGCAAGGTTCGCACTTCGTACGGCTACTGTTGCAGTTTTAACTACCTCGACCGAGAGCAAGACACCATCAAGTAGGTCACAATGAACATCGTTTATGCTTCAAGACAATTATCACTATACGCAGTTGAAAGGACAGGGGCAAGGGGTTTAAATGCGGTTCAAGCGGACTGACGGTGTGGTGGAGCCCTCTCTCATCATTGCATTTCTTAAACTTCTATGGACTTTCTTAACTTGCCTCACGCTTATGGTCAAAATTGTACGTACATTTCTTGACGAAACGCATGTAGTGGCACTCTTTGCCAACAAACAGGGGCAAATTATGGTTCTTGGCCTACATTTCAGGCAGTATCCAGGTGTCATTGGAAAGGAGAGAGCCCCACAGATTTGACTGGTCCAATTTTAAACCATCCATCAACTCGAAATTAAATTACGCTTCAAACCAAACTAACGACGTTTGGAACGTTTTACGAACGCTGTTTAGTTCAGACCGGTCCGCAGTCAAGAAACGTAAATGCCTCAGTTGTCTTGGGAACCACCACCATTTCCGTATACGGCAGCGATTTTATAGGCTGTGGTAGGACTTCTGGGTGGAGACGGCTTAGATGTAGGGTGGAAAAGGGGAGGCTGTGGTAGGACTTCTGGGTGGAGACGGCTTAGATAGGGTGGAAAAGGGGAGGCTGTGGTAGGACTTCTGGGTGGAGACGGCTTAGATGTAGGGTGGAAAAGGGGACGGGGTGGTAGAAGGTAGAGACGAGAAAGGGAGGGCAAGAGGAAATAACAGAAAGGAACAGGGTGGATTCAAATGAAATTGCGTTGTTTTAAAAAGAAGAAACAGTGCACCGTCAAAGCGGTACCTGTTTTTTTCAGGAAGCCTATGGTAGAGGCATAGGCGATTTCCAGGGAGTTCCTGGGAAAACCACACTGTTAAAAATAATCGTAAATTTACGACATTTTGTAGAACAATTATGTCGTTTTTAAAGGACACATTTTGTTACTACTCAAGTCGTAAATATACGATTTGAGTCGTAAATTTGCGACATATTTGTCGCTAATTTTGATAGCGACCAGTTCCGTTTTGAAACGAATTAATTCGTAAATTTACAACTTAATTGCAAGTTTACGAACGATCGTAATTTATCTATTGAACATTTCGTGCAGTTATGACTTCAGTCGTACATTTACGAATCTTGTCGTAAATTTGTGTAATGAATCGTAAATGAACGACACAAATCGTAAATAAGCGAGCAAAATTGCAGCATTTCATCAACTTTTCGGGGATCTCAGATTTTATAATATGTAATCGCGATTACGACATTGTCGTAGAGAAATGATTTTTTAGTCGTTTGGTTACGACGAAGTAGTTTCAGAACGATTTCTGTCGCTATCAAAATTAGCGACGTTTTTGTCGCTAATTTACGACAAAATTTCTGACAGTGCAGGAACCGTTTTTACCGTGTGGAAAATAAGCCGACCTAGGATTTAGCTACGCCGTCTTAACAAGATTTAGTTGCCACTGATCTTTTTCTGATGACCTTTTCCATCCACCGAGGACGAGGACGCATGCGGGCGGCTGCGTGGGCACGGCCCCAGGGAGCGTGCAGCGCCTGTCGGCGTGTGGCTCCGCCGACGGCCTCTCGATGGCAGTGTACGTGCAACCGAGCAACTACTTCGCGTCCATTGTGCCATCGTACTCAGTCATGGTAGGGAAACTTAGAGGGTTCTCTATTCATTGTTACTGGCGAGTTTCTGGTGGAAATTATTTCTTTCTGAAGTTTCAGTCTCCATTGTCGTCACTAGTAAACATTGAGTGAAGGATATGCATGCACTCTCAGGCTCGTGCGAATCACTCGGTTGAAAAACGCCACTGAAGTGGAGTTCTGAGGTTTCGGTGCATTAATGCACTGGTGAAACAAAGGCATAAAATCTATGGCCTTTACGGGCACGGTACACACTGAAAAACCAAACGTGGTCTAGACCGCACCAACTGGTGTGGTCAAATGGATGCCATTTTGACCGCATCAGTTGGTGTGGTCTAGACCACGTTTGGGGCGTTTGGTGTGGTCTAGACCACACCAACTGATGCGGTCAAAATGGCACCCATCTGACCACACCAGTGGTGCGGTCTGGACCACGTTTGGTTTTTCAGTGCACGGGGCGTAAACGATTCAATGTCGTGAACTGTTTTATGTCCTGCAGAGGGGCGTGAAGGTAGTAGAACTCAGACAATCGTTAAATCGAGGGGGTAACGACTTCGGGAATCCGGCTGACAGCAAATTGGTAATCCGTAATGCGGATGACCCGAAATTTTGAGGTAATCCGGGGTAATCCGGGAAAATTTTGAGGTAATCCGGGGTAATCCTGAGGTAATCTAGGAATTTCTTTGTTGTAATCCGGAGGCAATTTGGGGGTAATCCGGGGTAATCCGTAATCCGGCTGACACGAAATTTACCAGTCGTTACCCCCTCGCGTTAAATGCACTTCCAAAGGCTGAATCCTTCATTAAATTTCAATAATTTAAGAAATTTTGGCTTTGACTAAGGTCTCTACGAAGTTGATGCGGCTGGTGAGGCCTATGGCCTGGAGCTCGTGCTAATTGCTAATTGATCTGCCGTTTTCACTTCTTATTCGTTTTCTGAGGACTCTGGAGACTTGGTTGTTTTTCACCATGCGTATGTTCCACAGGTACTACTTCACAGTGCTCTTCAATTTCCCGATGAGAGTGCCCACACGAAGGTTATCGGAACAGGCACAATTAGCCTGATATCGTACGTTGCTGAGGTGCGTTCACTCTTGAAAACTTTTAAAGTATCTTGAGTAAATGTAAGGTACAACCTAATTAGTTCGTTCCACGAAGATGCTTGTGCCTGCTCAAAATACTTTGTTCGACTTTGTTCAAACGAACCACTTTTCTTTGTAAGGCCCAAGATAGTTCGTAAGGTTTTCGGTAGTTTTCGGGTTTCAGAGTGTTTTTACACAATCACCGGTCTCTTTTTCTGCCTCGATTTGCAGAGGTCGAGCGTCGCCCGGCGTCGGATGCTGAAAAGCGGCTCTTCTGACGGGAACAATCACGTCCTATAATGTTTCAGGTGACGGAGGCCACTGACCGGTTGCGGCGTTCCCTGGATCCGCGCGAGCGAAAGTGCCTATTTTCGGACGAGACCTACCTGCCCATGTACAGGAACTTCACTTTCGGGAACTGCATGGCTTCGTGCAAGGCCAACATGACCATGGAGGTTTGCGGTTGCTTCCCTATCACCTTCCCGCATGTCTGTAAGAACATCAGACCGATCTTTGAACTTCAAGACGTGTTTTGTGGTTAACCAAGTCAATTTTGCTGTTTCAAATCAGAAAATGAACATGAGAGGGAATTCAGAACTTCCTATAAGGGGGCGGTAACACTACAAAGCGGGAGAGAGGCGAAGCTCTCGCTTCCTGCAGGGGTTACGGACTTCTTCGAGATTATTAAAACTGGGCCATTGTTTTCAAAACGCTTTGCACAGATCGAAAGAGCATCAAATTTAGGGTGCATTAGACGCATTGACCTTCCCAAATCTCCCAATTTTACTAAGTACAAAAGAGAAAATCGCGGAAATGTTTACACAAAGATGGCGTCCCCGCGGTTTTTCCTTAATTATTAGACTTAATGTATTTTCCGGTGCTTTCACTTTGATTTTTCGAGGGCTGAAGTAGCAGGTAAGGGATTGCCAATGAGTCTAATGCACCCTTTATGTGATGCTCTTTCGTTATGTGCAAAGCGATTTGCAAACAGTGGCATGGTTTGAACAATCTCGAAGAAGTCCGTGACCCCTGCACGGAGCAAGATCGGAGTGAGAGCTTCGCCTCACTGCCGCTTTAGGGTGTTGCCGCCCCCTGTTCTTATGAAATCAAATGCACCTAACAAGGGTGGAATTAGCCTGAAGCAATTTTCAACTTGAAGGAGAAATCACCCAGTTTATCCGAGGGCACAGTACTGTTACATTTCTGTTCAGTAATCCACTTCTTTAAAAATCAAATTTCAGTGAATCGCAAGCTGTGCAACCTACTGGACGTTCCTTGTCAGGCAGCACTCTTTTGTAAGTTCTGTGATTCATAAGTGAATTTATGTTTAATAACAGGGTGGTAAGGGCCTCATGAGGCAAGTGTATGAAACAATTGCTAGTAATTAGTAATGTTATTAGTAACTGTAATATTGACGGATTGAGTTCTACAGACTATCAGGAGATGTTTTCAGCTTTCAAAAGTGCGCGAATTTCAATCAGGTTTTCAGATAGGTTTCTGACATTCTGACAAGAGTTACTCAAGTTTGCGTATTTCGGATAATTTATTCTTTATTTTTCATTTTTAAATCCGTGACATCTTGTCACGTTCGTTCCAACGTGATGTCACGTTCCTGGAATGAGAGTGTTACGCACAAGAATTTGTTGATGTTTACTGGGCCAAGTATGCGTTACTGACGTCTATCATATTGTTACACGCATAAAGCAGCGTATATTACACGCGCAACATTGAGTCGTCCGAACAGAAAAAGGTGTACTTGTGCATACCTCTTCACTTGGTCTATGCCGCAAGAAGGAATGAAAATGATGCAAGGGTCATAACTCTTCATTTCTGAAATTGTTGCGCAGCTCCGACGTGGCCAGTTGGACGAAAGCCACTGAACGTCACCAGCTGCCCACGGTGTAAAGCCACGTGTGAACACGTGCAATACATCGTTAAGTCTTCTACTGGTGGCCTCAACTGGACAACCGACCCTGGCAACTACTTTGTGTGGGTCATCCTATAAAAAAATGTTTCAATTTGGCCTCTCAAACTCTGAAGAATTCAATGTTGGTTTTTAAAATCCTGTACAAATTGGGTTTGTTTCTCTCGTCTTGCATGCAAAATAACATTGAGCGTTATTGGAGAGGGAAATGATTACGTTATGAGATCAAATGTTAGCTAGTTCAGCTGTGGGAGTGTGTACTCAACAGCACACAGCTGTAGGAGTTTGTTTGATAGTACAGTGTACTACATCAAGCAAACTCCTACAGCTCCCAGGAGCGTGTACTACTTACTAGTACACACTCCTAGGATTGTATTCACTGGTAAAAGTAAAGCGTAACACTATGCTTGAGTCAAGCATAGAGTTACGCTTGAAGACGTTACGCTTGAAATCAAGCATACACTGGAAATTTCCCCATGCATTTAGATAGGGGGAATCTTGGCGGATGAGCCTGTTACGCTTGATTTCAAGCGTAAACAGATTACGCTTGGAAACAGAGGGTAATACTACGCTTTAGTTTTACCAGTGTTCAAACAAGAACCTACACTTCCGGGTAGGAATTACCCTATATGATTGATAATTAAACCTGCATTGTTTTGCAGAAGCGGTATGAGTGATCGCAACGCGTCGGAGTACGCGATAGTCCACGTGTACGCGCGGAGGAGCATCACGACACGGAACAAGATGGACCGCCACTTACTAACGGAGGACCTTTTAGGTACGACCAAAACCACCGAGCCCCGAAGCCACACTCAAAAACTCTCTTTCTTGGATCTAGTATATATCCATACTAAAACATATTCTAAAGAAATCCTCTAATCAGTATACTAACTTTCAGTATATATTCTCAAAGCTAGTATATTTCCATACTAATACATACTCTAAAGAAATCCTCTTATCGATATACTAACATTCAGTATTTATTCTCATAACTAGAAAGTTTGCATTGTAACTTGTACAATGTCCTCAGAAATTTGAATACTTATGCTACACACTCACTGCAAACTAAGTTGAAATACTGTTGTCCTTGGATAGACATTCAGGTTTGTTTTAAATTTATTCCTTTTCAAATAATTAATCTTTTAAAATATTAGTTTTCCATGAGATGAACCCAGAATTATTGTTGAAGCTTCATAAGTTTTCAAACGATTGAGGTTTACGTAGAAGAAATTTTGTCGTCTCCCACACAAATTTCTAAAAACATTGGCAATGATTGAGGGGTGTAAAAACTGACACTGGTGGCTATACCACAAGTGGAATTCTGTTTCAGAATTGAATTCATTTCAGTACATCCCTCAGACAAAGTGACCAAAAGTCTGCGACAAGTTGACGTAAACTGACTTTGTCGTGAAAGTCCAAAAGAAAAGTTAAATCTTACACTTCACAAATTTTCCATGATCATTAGAAGTACAACTGTTTAGATTATTGTCTTAGGGACTACAACAAGTGTGAAAAGAATTACTTTAATGCAACTTTAAGTTTCAGAGATCTATAAAAATTATTAGTGCTTAATTATATATTTTCTATTTTCAAAATCTCTCTACCATATTGAAATTAGCAAAGTAAATACTAGTAATCTATTGAGTTACCCTTTTGTTAAGTACAGTCGGAGCCAAACAAATAATATTCTAGAGCTACAAATGGATAGTATTGTCATCATCCGCTAGGTGGCGCTAGTGTCGCTCTATTTACGTCTTGGGTTAAAAAGTGCTTTTGCAGCCGTAATATGGTGTCCTTCTTATTAAAAACCTATACAGAATAAACGTTTGAGGTGCAATGACTCTCCCACGGCAAAATTGATTTCTATCGCTTCAATATTAGCTCAATAAATGTGAGTATAAGTTCGCTCTCACGCACGGCTCCGGGTCGTCGCTTGATAGGGTTCAGGGGCTCTGCCACTCCAGTCAGCACCAGGGGTCACCAGCTAGGGTCACTGTGAGGAGAATTTTTGATAGTGCTGATCTGCTATCTGGGCACTCTGATATTCGACGCTTAGTCAGAGGGACCCAGGCGATAATTTTAGATATTCCACGGATCCAGGAAGTTAAATTGATTTAGCTGGAGAAAAATATACTAAAGTTTAGAATATGAGTGAAGAAAACAGCCTTCTAAAAACAAGAATACACATTCTTAATTTAAGAGTGTCGCATAAGAAAAATATACTAAGACTATTTCCCTCTTAATTTAAGTATTTATACTAGGTTCGTATTTTAGACTAAAATATACTAAAGATAAGTATGCCTATCTTATTCCAAGAATCTCAGTTTTTGAGTGCACGGTCACCAAATTCCTGTAGGAGGCGGGGGTCTGAATCTTGGAAACGGTTCTGGGTTGTCGAACGTTGTCCTCAGATGTTTTGACGTATCCTAGAAATACACGTTTAATATTGATGTACAATTTTGTACGGGGTGCTGCGTGGTTTCGAACCTGCGTAACGGTTTGCTTAAAGTTTTGCTCAAATTTGCATTCATTTATGCATTTTTACGCACAACATTACGTAGATTCTACGTATGCACAAAATCGTGCAAGTGATACGTATAGAATTCTACACAGACATTTAGTATGCAATTACCCATACACTGAAATCTGAAAGGTTCGACACATGGCCATATTACGATTTTAAAAAAGTCACACTTCAAATCAGCGTGACAGGAAAGTCACACTTCAAAGCCAGTGGCAAGTTTGCTTGCCGGTTTGGCGAGCCGTTTTGAATGCCAAAAATTGGCGACCTTGGACCAAAAATACTTCACAGCTTACCAAAATTTTGCAATCTTATGGAGACCTTTACGGTAAAATTGTTTCCTGGTTTTCCCAGGAAGCCTGGGCGTTACACCCCTATCTTTGCCCTAATTGAGACATTCCAAAAGACAAGCGACCTCCAAAATGATCTACATTTAAAAGAGTAGGATTTCCCATTGAACTCTTCGAGTGGTCGATGAAACTTTTCATTGTTGGAATGAACATTTCCATTGTCATGTACCCAGCCAGGCTTGCTAGTCCCAATGTTCTAGGATAACAATTTGCGAGCATATGTTTCTGAAAAGTTTTTCTGAGGAAGATAATTATGGGTGCAATGCTGTCCTAGAGCATTAATGAAGCTGCATGTAGTTACAGAGACTCCTCTCTCTTGACCTTTGATCTGATGCACTTATTTCTGGTCTTTGGGGCATGTTATTTTTTCTTTAATACTACCCACAGTTGAAGTTCCAGTTTCATCCAGGTTCCATATGCGAGAGCCATTAATAAATTCAGGATGCCGCTGCATCACACCATTCAGCTACTCAAAATAGTTGCCAATGTTTTGTTTGTTGGATTGAGATGAAAAGCAAGCTTAATTTTGGTGTGTGGCGAGCCAATGACATAGGGGTAGGTTGGGGAAGAAAAGTACAAAACGCGTACTTTGCACTGTACAGAAGTTCCAAATGAGGAATTAACTATTCTGCTCTCGTGAACTTGTAATCCAATGCCTTCCTAATGAAATGGATCACTGTTCATTGATTTTTGTTCCCCCATTACGTACAACACCAAAATGTATGTGATTTTGGAACTCCTCGAAAAGGGTAAGAAAAGTACACCACCGGGAAAGAAAAGTAAAACGAAAAGAATTGTGATTTCGAACCAGGAGACCGCCAATCTTGGCTCAATACAGGTTTACCCGTAATGTGGAGAGTTTTCACTTGCCATTGGTGCAAGTTTCGTCAAAATTGGTCAATTGGTTCTGATTCTACATGGACTAATCACAGAAGGTCCAGAAAGCCTTTTCTCAGAGAAAGTGGGTACAGCATTTTTGTACTTTTCTTCCCCTTTTCACGAAAATGCCCAATAACTTGTTTTTCGAGCCCAAATTCCATAACATTGTTGACCTTTTTGGCTTGTCTCGCCTAATCAAAACTTTTCCGTGATAAATTCAATATTTATCCCGTTTAAAATTTTTTTTTAAAAGGTGTTCTTTTCTTCCCCAATCCCTTATTTTTCTTCCCCAGCCGACTGTATTTTTCTTCCCCATTTCACTTTTACCCTTATAAAAAATTGTGTTGAAGCCTTAAAGCATCGAACGGCACTGTTTTTCAAAGATGATGGTCTAAGCTTTAAGGTGGTACCTTGCATCGGACTGTCGGCTGATTCTGCAGGAAGCTGTACTTCAAAGTGCAAACGTTTAAGAAAAAGATTTTCATAGTTTTTTTTAATGTTTTTTTCAAACGTGAGTTTATTCTAAATATCAATGTAAACGGGGCAAAATTTATTTTTCGTCAGCGGGATGACCAATCTTGCTAAAACCACTAACGTGATGGTTCAGTGTAGTTTCAGTTCGAAGATATAACGGGTGTACTTTTCTTACCCGAGCCTCGAGTGTACTTTTCTTACCCAACCTACCCCTACCTCATGACCCTGCAAATTCTCGGCTGAATCGGCCGAGCCGTTCAGGAGCAGTAGTGTACACACACACACGCACTCACAAACTGTAAATTTTTTTTAACCCCACCGGAGTAACGGGCTTTGCCAATAATATTTATATTATGACACCATCTGAGACAGCTCCAGCATGAACTCACCTCCGCTTTACTCTTTAGTTCTCTTTGATTAACGCAGCCCTTAGCAGTACAGAATGCTAGGCAGCTTCACAGAAATATAAATTTACATTTGTTCTAACTGGGCGTCACAAGGGTGTTTTCTAGTGGAAAATGGTTAACAATCCGAGTGTCTCGAGAGTCCGCTGGACCCGGTCACCGTCGGTTAGAGGGTTCGAGAGATGGAAGGGGGTGGTCATGGTGCTCAGTGGTCATGGATCAGCACTCTCCCTAAATACGCCCAGAATACCTCGTATGGCTTCAAGCGTGTTGCTCTTGTTACCCCAGGTTCCCTCGGTGGTCTGTCTGGCTTGTTTGTGGGCTTCAGCCTGGTTGCTGGCTTCGAGTGCGTCTACTTCTTCACCATCCGTCCTTGCTTCCGAACGCAACGAGGAATCAACACTGCTTCGAGTACGCCATGTAAGTATAGGAATCGACAGGAACGCGTTCTTCGTGATGGTTTCGGTCTTGACGTCCATTCCGAATTTTTGAACGTTGACACGGCGTCGAGTGAACATTCGGCCATAAAACTGGCTATCACTGTAATTGACTGTAATAATGTGATTGACGATACTGAGGTTATCCACTTGTATCAAAGAAATTATCAGTGTTAATCAAGTTTTGAGAAGTTTGTTTTTACTTATTTGACTAATTTGTTATCGTTTTGATGACCATCATGCACAATGTGCATTTTTTAGGAGTTTTAATTGTGTTTGATAATACTTGAACTATGTTTATCTAAAGTTTTCTTAACTGTTTAGCCTCATGATTGTTCAATTAATGCTGAGTTTCATGTTTCCACTAAAGTTTTCTTAACTGTTTAGGTTGTTCTCATTATTGTTCGATTAGTGCTGAGTTCACACTGTAAATTCAAGTAGGAGACAGTCTCTCACTATTTCGGGCGAACCAATATCTCTCACTACTAGCGCGAGCTACGTTTGTCCCGCGCTTGCAAGGCTTGCAAGAGTGAGACAACGTTTGTACAAGTGTGGGTCCTGTGGCATTGAACCGTAGGCAGAAAGTGTGGGTCAAACCTTGTTTCATACCTGCAAGTGTAAGGACAAATGGTTTGTGACACAGTGGCGGATCCAGAGTCGGTCCGGGGATGGCTGGAGGGGGGGGGGCAACGTTTCACTTTTTGCTTATTTAAGGGGGTAAAGTGTTGCTGTTTGACTACCTTTTAGGCGGCTATCAAGGGAGCGGGGGAAAATTGTCCTTTTGCCCCCCTTCCACCCCCACCCACCCGACACCATCATTGCCGTGCATCAAAAGCGCATTATGATGAGTAAAGTCCAGCCTGTGTTTGCAGGGAATTCCAAATCATCGGAAGAGAAGGCTCATCAACGCTCCCCCGCTGGTCGCATTTCACCGTTCGTGCTGGTTCCACCGCGCATCTTGGCGCTGCGTGCCGACGCCGTCGGCAGGCGTCGTCCGCCCCGTCCCTTCAAGGCGACAGTGGGCCAGTGAGGACCTGCATAGAAGCGACTTCCTCCTCGGTCGAGACCTTTGCGAACATCCCACATTCGAAGGCATTCTGAGAGCGAGCACCACCTGAGAGCCCCACGCAAAGCTCGCTCCTGTTTCGTAATTACAACTGAATGTTATATGTTACACTGCAAAATATATTTATAAATTTACGAAAATACATTTTTTAAACTACTTAGACATTTAAAAAGAAAAATAAAGTTTGTACCGAGACAAAAATCAGTTCAAAAATCAGTGCCAGTGACGCATGTTCAAGAGAGATCCGAGCATCGCAGGTGCACGTGTTATTGTCGCGAGGCTTTATCTTTTCAATTTCACAACATCTCCTTTCCTACATTTTACAACTAGGTCGTGCATGGTTGGTTGTTGAAACTCAGTATAAAAGGAGGACGATATTTGCGTTACGTTAGTTAAGCAAAATGAAGTCCATCCTGGCCCTTTTTCTCCTCGTTGCCAGCTGTTTGGTGGTAAGGTCCGCAGTCCTCTCTATACCTTAAGTTGAGGGGGACATTGTAAACTGACCGCGAACCAAATACATCAGTATAGGTAGTTATTGGAACCCGAAGAATGGAAATTTTCGATTTTGTACAAACGCACTGTAAAAAGGGTAGTTCAGAGCCAATTTAACACAACTCAAAAGGCCTTTGTCTCAGATTCAGGTTTATGTCATTGGGTGTTTCTCTACGTCTAATGCATACGGATAATCGATCCAGGAAGCGGCAGAAGGGGATAACTCCATTATGACCACTTTTCAGGGGAAACAAAAAACTGTTAGCAGGGAAAGTTAAAACTAATCAATGTAATGTTATAGATGATAACAAGTTCAAGGAGCGTTAGTTAAATTATGAGATGAACATCAGGAGTGTCAGGTCACTGCGTAAAGGATTTCTTTGACTTATCACTTTCCGCTTAAATGGAAAACAGAGTCATCGCAACTTATTGGCTGAGCGATAGCGAAGCCTGTTACTCCATTGGGGTTGAAAAGTTTTTCCTGTCTGTCTGTACGTCTGTCTGTCTGTCTGTCTGTCTGTCTGTGTGTCCGCACTACTGCTCCTGAACGGCTCGGCCGATCTCGGTGGAATTTTGCACACTTTTTGGGCATGTCCTTGGCTCGGCACACGCGAAATTTCACTATCCTAGCTCAACTGGTTCAGTTTTTATAGCCGAAAAACACCTAAAAAACGGCGAAAAATCGAGTTTTCTGCAGACAGATCACTTCTGCCTTGAAGAAGGGAGGTCTGGGTGGCTCAGCCCCGACAAGTTGAAAAGTTACAAGGGATCTAGAATGAAGGGGGGTCTGGGGGGGCCCCCCAGCATGCATGAAGTTACAAGTAACCGTCGATGGACAAGCCATTGCCTGCCGAAGGCCAAGGTAGGTACGCCAGGCGCGGTTTGGAGGAACAGGCAGCGAGACATCGCGAAGCCTGTTACGACAAGACGCGGTCTGGCGTAAACCTACCTTGTATTTTCTAAACGAATTGGAATTTGGAAACAAGTCAAGTGGAACTGTAGTCAGGAGAGAGTATTGGTTCCTCTGGTGCATTTTTTGGACCTATCTCTTTTTCCGTTATGGTTCTTAAATGAAAGGGGGTTAAGGGTGACTTGAGCTTCTTTTAGTCGATACATAAAACACAAGTTGAGTTATCTCATATCAACAATATGTTCATCGGAGTCATGTCGACTTGGTTGAGTTGTTCCTTTTCCGCTACATCAGGGTGTAAAGGGGTCAAGTTGAGATGTACTTTTTCAAATGGATTTTCTCCTTAACTACTAGGAACTGGATGAAATAATTTGGTGCAATGATGCAAACCATTCTGAAGCACAATTTTATTACAAAAACTCAATTTGGAGATAAGTCGAATTATTCCCTTCTTCCGCTTCCTGGATCAATCGTAATTTGTACATGTATAAAATATTTCCTTAATCAAAATTCACCATTTTGAGTCTCCTGTTAGAGAGGAAAGTAGATCCATCGTCTGGAGAATCAACTTGCATGCTCGTTGACCACCATTTTGGCATTTAACCTTTTAATTGGAATCCTTCTGAAGTTATTTGAGATTTTCCAGGAACATTTCAACTAAGGACATTAATGCCAACCAAGTTTCTAAGTTGGAGCTGAATAATTATAAACCCAGGAATGTGACATCACGTGCGATATAACGTGAATCGTATCGCATTCGTTCGATAATCTTGTCACATTCGTTGACTCGTCGAACAGACCGGGCCCTGTTGCGGGGGGCAATTTGAATCTCGCGCCGCTTCTGTCATCCAGCCCGCTCACGGCTATCTGGAGCGCGAGGCCCGCGGCGCGATGATGAGTGATGAGGTAGTAGCAATAGCGGAGCGGCGCCCCGCCGGGCCCTTGGCGACCCGCGGGAGCCCTCCAGCCGGACACAGACGACTGACTCGAGGCAGTCGTCTGGATACTCGGTAGTAGCGAGGGTGTGTGGAGCCCCAAACCTTGTATCCACCGTTTGATTATCGTAATACAACCAGTTCGGACTAATCTCATTTACAAACTCACTCGATTCCTTGAACCCGGGAGAAACACACCACCGAAACATTGGTGCATCGCCGGGAATCGAGTCAGTTTTTTTTTCTCGTGATAGCTAAATTTTTTTTTCTAAATTTTGGAACGCGGTCGGGACTACGTGGAAGCCAGCCTTGTGACGACTCGGGCTGCGCGGTTTCGGGAACGGTGAAGTGGAGGAAATTTCAAGTGCAGTGAAAAGCTCAGTGATTCTGGTGTGGTCCAGTGAGCGGTGAACTTGTGATTTTTGTGGTTTTGGATACTCTTGCTTCAAACTTCGCCACGTGCAGCCACGTGGAGCCGGAGCTTTGGTGTGGCTCAGCAGCGTGCATTCAACATTCACAACGGGATACCAGGTTAGTGCACTGACTTTGAACGCAATGCAATGAACAACGAATTTTTTCAAAAAGTAAACCATCTTCTGGGTTTGGAAAGTTTAGAGCCAGTTTTTGTCATTGAGAACACCCTACTGTGGACTCCTGCAGACTATCAATCAATCGCAGACATAGTTTTAAAACACATTGACGAATTTCCCATTAAATTTTTGCCCGAAGTTCAAAAACCCCACAATTCTAAATTTCCGGATAATATTGTCACACAGGAAGTCAGAGCGGACGCCCCGCCAAGCATTAAAGTTCTAACTACAGAGGAAGAATTCAATCAGCATAAATTTAAAGAGGGTACACTTTCAGTCAGTAAATTAAAATTTGCGCTCAACAAATTCAGAAAACAAGGGTATTCAGCAGCAGAAACAAAGCAACATCTGGTTCAAATTTTGCAAAACTTTATTGCGGGAATCAACAAATATTTGGATCACTTAGCAAACACAGAAAACATGACAGCTAAAAATTTACCACTTTCGTTGCAACCAACAATCAGGCCGTTTGATGTCGACAACGTACCCCATTGGCTTGACCATGCGGCCGCAGTTTACAATAAATATGGTGTAGCAGGCAAAGACGTTCTTGATTATATTGGTCAGTTTCTCCCAGAATACCTGCAGACAACACATGAATCACTTAAAAACAGTACATGGGATGAATACAAAAAGAATATACAAAAGTACTTACCAGTCAAAAACACAGCCTCATCAATCAGAACCAGAATTCTCAGTCTTAGAAAAACACCTACAGAGACAACAATAGATTTTGTGCTTCGAGCACAATCACTAGCTGCAAAGGTAGCCACAATCACAGAAGAGGAAAAAGTGAAACTTATGTTAGAAATTTTGCCAATTGAAGACTCGGAATTAATCATAAGCGCCGGATGTAAAACAATAGCAGAACTGATCACTAGATTAAGAGATGCGTTAGAAAATAGGTCGATTGTGAGAAAAGGACATGGTGCGCCCAATTTGGAAATGGAGGCGAGGCTCACAAAGAAATTTGAGGCAATATTGGATAAAGTGTCCAACCAGAAACTAGAAACACAAGACAAGGAACATAAAATCTTGGCACTGTTAGAAAATTTGGACGAACCTAAAGAAAAATCTCTGGAAGATAAAATTCTTGAAAAATTGGAATCTCTTTCAGTAGCAGCGGGAAAGCCGGGGCAATCTGAAAATATTTGCGGAGTTCAGGAGGACTGGGACGGCCAGGACGAGTGTGACTGGGACGGCCAGGACGAGTGTGACTGGGACGGCCAGGACGAGTGTGACTGGGACGGTGAGGACCAGGATGACTGGGGCGACCCGTGTCAGGGCGCTTGGGGCGGCCAGGGCCGAGTCTATTTCACTAACCCGAATTATCACTTGCCCGAATTGTCACTAACCCGAATCTTCACTAGGCCGAATTATCACTAACCCGAAAACACGACCATTTGGTCAAAAACGAAATTTGTTTCACTGACCCGAATTGTCACTAGCCCGAATTATCACTAGCCCGAAAACATGCGTGCAGGAGCGTTGTTTCACTGGCCCGAATTTTCACTAACCCGAATTGTCACTAGCCCGAAAGCGGAGCTTTTCCATTACCTGTCTCACTAACCCGAATTGTCACTAACCCGAAATGTGGTGGAGGGGGTGGCCGCAGCTAGTGTCTTCAAGAGTGTCTGAAACTAAATTGTCCAACCTAACCTAACCTAACGGGCCCGCGACAGATCTTACTCTAACCGCGACAGATCTTACTCTAACTAAGACAGATCTTTCTCTAACCCTGACAGATCTTACTCTAACCGCGACAGATCTTACTCTAACCGCGACAGATCTTACTCTAACCGCGACAGATCTTACTCTAACTAAGACAGATCTTACTCTAACTAAGACAGATCTTACTCTAACTAAGACAGATCTTACTCCACTAGGGCAGATCTTGCTCTAACCGCGACAGTTCTTACTCCAACCGCGACAGACCAGCCCTATTCGCGGCAGATCTAACCCAGCAAAAGTGGATTCGTCCCCCGCACCCCGGTGCCGAGTTTCGGGCTAGTGACAATTCGGGTTAGTGAAACACTTATTCCACAGACGTGGCCTTCGGGTTAGTGACAATTCGGCCTAGTGATAATTCGGGCTAGTGAGACACAACCAGAATATGGCAAAAGGACGGAACTACTTCAGGAAATTCGGGCTAGTGATAATTCGGGTTAGTGACAATTCGGGTTAGTGAAACTGCCTTGTGGGATGTTCGGGTTAGTGATAATTCGGGCTAGTGAAGATTCGGGTTAGTGACAATTCGGGCAAGTGATAATTCGGGTTAGTGAAGAACTCCCCCAGGGCCAAGGGTCCTGGGGAACGAGGGCCTATCGGGGCGCTTGTTTTGCGTGCTACAGCCTCGACCATAAAATAGCTCAATGCCCAATTATGCAAAATTTCCAAAACGAGTAAAATATAAATAGCATAAGTTTCAGTAATTCAAGTTGGAGTGAATTGGCTTTGTTTGGTACACAGGCAAACGTCGTTTTTGTGTCTTGTTTTTAAGGTAATTTTAAGGAAAATTGTAAATTTAAGCTATTATTATGTAAGTCTGGGATAAGTGGGAGTAATTTGAGAGCAGCGGCAGAGGCGCTAGAGCTTGAATTGAAGTGCAACTACAAGGTGAGATAAAATTTTCGGAGTACTCAACAAATTTGGTACGTACAGTGGGCGTGAGTTCTTTCTCTTTTTCTTGATTGGGAGTCATTACGCGTACTGGTGCACCTCCACGTGGTGCAGGCAGCGGCCACGCGGCCACGTGTCGCGGACTTGGCGTCGGTTCAGGGCAGTGGCTCTACCGGTGCAGTGGCGTCCGGCCAGTCGGGTCCAGTTTCAGCGAGCGGTCCCACGGGAAGGGCCGCCAGGCGTTCCATCGCAGTCAGTAGTTTTCCGGGGTCAGGTTCGCGACGGTTGGCAGAAGGTTCTGAGGAAGAATGCGCGTCGGACCGCCCAGCCGAGTGGGAACTGCGGAACTAATATGACACCTCAGAACGATTCTCGCGGGGCGACGCGGCAACCGAGACGACGCGGAGTGTGGGAACGCGTGATGCGCCCGTCGATTTGAAAACCGATCCGATCATATCTGTTCATGTAATTACGAGCATTGGCAAATCAACTTTTTCTTTGAATTTTTTTGCGACACTTGTCACAGAGGGAAAGCCAGTAGTATTTTCGCATGTTAATAAGAATTTTCAGATTAAAACTTAAATTTAGGTGATTTTAGCACAGATCATCGACTTTCTTCTTTTGAATATAATTTTAGTGAAGACTATTACATTTTAGTTTTTGGCATTAAAACGGCATTTTTTCCCTTTTCTCAGACTTTTGCCAAAACTTGTAAGCGATTCATAAAATTAGTAAATCAAACGCAGAGACTTGTGCGGAGAGGCGCGGCGAGGCGCGACAAGGCGCGGCAAGGCGCGGCAAGGCGCGGCGAGGGCGGCAAGGCGCGGCGAGGCGCGGCGAGGCGCGGCAAGGCGCGGCGAGGCGCGGCAAGGCGCGGCGAGGCAAGGCAAGGGGCGGCGAGGCAAGGCAAGGCGCGGCGAGGCAAGGCAAGGCGCGGCAAGGCGCGGCGAGGCGCGGCAAGGCGCGGCAAGGCGAGGCGCGGCAAGGCGCGGCGAGGCGCGGCAAGTCCGGCGAAGAGCGCGGTTGAGGTGTGGTGACGTCACGCTCGGGTCCAAACGGTGTCTTCCCTCCTCCGAGTGGCAGTCGGAGCGCGGGGAGCGTCGGGCGGAGAACGAGCCGCGACGACGTCACGACAGTGGCTTGTGTTAGGCGGTGTCTCAGCGTATTTTCAAATGTTAAATTAAATCAAAATCATTCATATTTCCTGACAGCTATTGTTTTCTTTCAAATTTCCATTTAGTCAATATTTAAAATTTAGTCAATTTTTAAAATTACGTTTCGGTACAACCCTTTCAATGGTAAAGAAGTGAATGTGATTTAGAACAAAATTTATTTTTGAAGCCAAAACTTTTGTAACGGCAAGCAGTGTTAGTTTCGGCCTCGACCTTTTTGTGTGTTCGTAACTTATTTTTATCTTCTTTTGTCCAAAAAATGTGCTCGTATAAAAAGTTACAATTAATTTTAAAAAAAATCTGGTGGCAACCTTACTAAAAGAACCCCCCCCCCCCTTTCCAAAAAAGAGAGAGAGAGAGAGAAAGAGAGAGAGAATGAGAGAGAGAGAGAGTAAGAGAGAAAGAGAGAGAGAATGAGAGAGAGAGAGAGAGAGAGTAAGAGAGAGAGAGAGGGAGAGAGTGAAGGTTTTCGACAGATTACTGAATGCTTACCTCACCGATGTTCACAGTGCAAGCCCCTTTAAAAAGTTTTTCCCCTAATAAGAATAACCAATAGAAAATGTTAGTACAGTTATTTTAAAGGGATGTCTTAGGATTTGTTATTGATTGTATGATTGGTGAATATGAGCTTTGCAAAACACTCATTTTGATGCAGTGGAAAAAAAAATAGTTTTTTGTTTTGCGGTTTGTTAGCGGTTCAATTTTTTGGTGAGCCTGTAGAATGCTCATTCCTTTTTCGAGTGAAAGTTTCGAATAGCGGGATGAACAGGCTTTGTATTCACCAAGGGTTTTTGATAGCAATTATAGCGTTAGATTTAGGATTGGGACTTTACTTACCACCAATACAGTTTAGTGTTGGCAATTGAAATTGAAATTTGTTGCTAACGTTAAGTAAACAACATACGTTTTGCTACGATACTTGACGAGCCAGCGGAGTTTTATAGCAGTTTTTGCATGATTGCTATAACGAAAAAAAATACTTCTCAATAAATGTGTCAACAAACGCGGCAAATATAGTTAAAAAAAAAAATGCAGGAAGTGGAATTGCGGCACAATGAAATCCTTTAAGTTTTTTCCTTGAATTCGAATTGGGAATTGTGAATAGTACTTCCAGTTTGATTTGCGCCATTGAGTTTACAGAGCCCAGTGATGGAATTTGGGTCTTGGAAATGGTGGTATTTTGTAGTTTAGTTTGAGGTCACCGTATGACTCTTTGCTTTGTCAGTCTATTCAGAGTATTCGAGACAAAGCCAATTTTTCTTCATATTCTTCTTCTCCTTCTTCTCTAAAGTTTCTTCAGGTGTCTCTGCACCTGTCGATCGAGTTGCAAAACGTACACAAAAGTGTCGTTTCCAATTCTATCGTACTCTTTCTCTGTCGTATACTTTGCAATCGCAAAACCTTTGTATAGCTTCTTAGTACGAAGGAAAGTGGACCAATCTTAAGAAATTAGAACGTAGAAATTTTCATTTCGACAAATCAAAATACTATTAGACCTAGATTGGACTTCCTTACTGTAATTTTAATGTTGAGAATCAAGACTGCAGGCCTCTAGTTTTACAAGTTTAGCGTAAGAGTTTTGGGGAGTTTTGATGTCCAATCTAGAATTTCTATGGTACTTTAACTATTGCATGGGCCTATGCGACTTAGCAAAAAAATTTTCTATTAGACAAAAAAAAAACTTCTATGCGATTACAGCTTTTAACAAGTGTATACACTTTATGTCCACAACTTGCGATTATGTGTCCAGTTTTCTCTGTGTATCTATTTCTTTATCTTTTCTCTATTTATTTTTAGTTAAGTGGCCAGCGAGCCTAATTAAGAAAATGCTCATGGGTCATGCCCAGTGGTTCTAAATACATGGTTGTATAAAATTTTTTTTAGGGAACAACAAGTGTTTAGAATCTTGTGAGATATGTAAACTCCGGAGTGCTCAGTACTGAGTTCTGAGAAATATGAATAATGAATAAGCGCTATATAAATGAAATGATAAATACAGAGTGAAATATGAAATGGATAATATAAATGAGATGATAAATATAGAGTGAAATGTGAAATGGATGATATAGTGAAATAAATGGTGAACAATAGCAAAGGACAAACTTAAAGAATTTAAAGGAAATATAATTGATATAAATGAAAAGGTATATGAGAAAAGAAAGAATTAAATAGAATCGACACTGTTAGAAATATATGAGTATTGATAAAAAGAAAATTTTAATGCCAGATCTGATTCTCATTCAAATATGACAAAAAAATGATTCAAAGCTCAAAATTATTGTATTTGAGGGTTGCTGTGGTCAAGAATTTGTTTAAGTGAAAAACAAGATTGAGCACTAATAATTAAGGCCAGGGACAGGTGAAAAAATGAAGAAGTTTGGTGAAATTGAATGAAATGAGTTCTGGGTGGAAAATGGTCCTTTGGACCTTCCTCTTTCAGGATCTGTCGGGACTTCGACTATCCGGGACCTGGAAGTGCTTAAAATACATCTTTTCGCACACTCCTGCATTTACGACCCTTTAGTAAAATTGTCCGTTTTGCCATCAAGGGGGGGGGGGGGGGGGGTCTAGCGAAAATCTTGCCATTTTCAAAATGAACCCCACTGTCATAATTTGTTGGGAATATGAAATCATACTTCAAAGAGACTAAGATTTGATTTTTGAAGGCATATGCTAGGTCTTGAACCCAGTCGAATTGTCTTTTTTGGACTGTTTTGGCTTTATTTAGCCGTATCTTGAACAATCCTCTTGCGCATACTATTTTGACGTAAAAGGCTTATCTTCACATTTTGCACTTCTTCGATTCATTTAAAAAGATTCCAGCATGCCTAGTTCAAAATTTCCATTATATTAGTAATCACATGCTTTTTTCATCTAAGAAGTCACTAAAACTTGTCTTTTTTGTACATTGTTGATCAATTTAAGTGAAATGCATGCTTTAGAAGCTTGCCAATGATAATGTAATGGACATTTTCAGTTGTGCATGCTGGGATTTTTTAAAAATGAATCGAAGAAGTGAAAAATATCCAGGTCAACCTTTTACGAAAAAATAGTATGCGCAAGGAGATTTTTTTGGCTGAAAATCCATTAAAATCTGTCACCAAACTTTAAACGCCCTTTCTCCGAAGACATTTTTTTTAAAATTTGAATGGTCCTGTGCGCATACAGTTTGAAGTATCGTCAATGATATTTTTTCCACTGACTCAGTAGGTTATTGCGAGGAAACGCAAGTGACAGTTTTTGTATATTCCACCCAGAAGTATGGTTTTGGATATCGGTTTTTACAAAAAAAGGGAAAATCTTTGGTTTTTGAAAAATATCAAAATTGAAAAGTTGGTATTTTGCTATCAGTGCCGGAAACTAAAATCTGTCACTTGCGTTTGTTCTTTGGACTTAGACGAACAAAAAAATATGTCGGTCAGGTCAATAACCCAAAATGGGAAACGCACAGGAATTTTTTAACAAACACTTAAAAAATTATAAAAAGCCTGTATCTCAGGAACCGCTTGATATTATGGGATGGGATTTTGGGTGAAATAGTTTATCATCAAGAGTAAGATTTTGACAGAAAATAAGAAGTTTTGGACCAGCAGTTTCTGAGATCATTTTTTCACCTGTCCCTGGCCTTAAATGTGGAATCAAAATGATAGCGATAATAATAATTACGATTATTAGTGAAATGCTATCATTTGCGAGATTTAAATGTTATGTTTATCATATTGTCAACTCTGCAACAAATTAAAAAAAAAGTGACTTCAAATTACATTAATCATTGCCAGTAAAAAGAGTCCAAACATTCTTGATTCGCACTTACGTGTGCACAGCTCGACTTGGAGTCTCCAACAGCGCCGGCCTCTGAGTGCCGTTGGTTGGCATCTACAATTCATATTTTAACAAAAAAACCCTATCTTTAAAAATAAAAGAAGACAGACAACGATTTACGGA